CAAAGTACAAACATCCAAAGGGTTGGCTTCTTTCCCCTGAAAGTCACATTGTTCCTCTCATCCCAAATACTTGTGATAATTGATGCTATCTTGCCCTTGATTAGTTGTTTAAAGCATTTGACTGCTACATGTTGCTTCTCCCACCATTTTAGAAGATCAAACTCATTAGAGTTTAGCAAAGCTTTTAGGTTGAGACCAACTTGAGCTTGAAACCAAATAACCTTGGCAAAGGCACATTCTAACGTCATGTTTGGGAGTGCTTAAAAAATAAGTGCTTATTTGGGTCGGCCTGTGTCAGTGCTTTTTTTTTTTTTAATGTTTTACTTTTTTTTTTTTAAATTGGCTCAAAGGGGCCGGTTTAAGGCCTGGATACCCTCTGAACCAGTGGCTGACCCAATACAACCCCTGTAGGGGCGTACCAGAAAGTCACCGACATGATTCGTATTGGCCGGTATGGCTGATACGTGTCAATACTTTGAACCTTGCCATTAAGCACTTATCGGTGTTTGGGAAATAATCCTAAAATAATGGCTTATTTGTTAAACCCAAATTTCTAGCTTTTTTTTGAAGTGTTTATACAACAAACATTTATTCAAAATTTTCTTCCAAAATTACCCTCAGTTAAATTTTAAAATACACTTATAAAATTATCCCTAGTTGAATTTTATAAAAGTGCTTTCATAAAAGTACTTCCATAAAAGTGATTTTCTTAAGATACATTCATAAAAGTACCTTTCGTAAAATTGCTTTCATGAAAGTGTTTTATAAAAGTACTTTTGTAAAATTTGAAAGAAAATGAAGGACAAAATAATAAAAAATACTTATTTAAATGCTTATTGGAGAATAAGACTATCAAATGCCAAATATAAAATAAGCGTTTATTTACTCGAAAAAGTTGGATTCCAAATATAAATAAGTATTTATTCAAATAAACACTTATTTTTAATATAAACACTCATGACCTAAGAATAAATGTTTTGAGTCTCAGTGCTGATCTTAAGGAAGGTGCAGTCGTTTCTCCCTTGACCTTAAGCCTCCAAGTTACTGATTTGAATCGAACAACACCCATAAGATATTTTCAGTTTTGATGTAGTTTGACAAAAAAAAGTGCCAACAATATAAAACAAAGGGTAAATTACAAGAATCCCCCCGTATTATGGGGTCAGTGGCAAAGACCCCCCAGTACTTTAATTCGCAACAAAGGCCCCCTGTACTGTTACTTTGTGACAAATACCTCCTTAGCCGTTAAGTCAGATGATGGAAGGTGTTAAATTACCAAAATACCCCACTAAACTTTTTCTATTCTCTTTTTTTTTTGTCATTTTTCTTAAAACCTAATTACCCAAAACACATTTGCTCATCACCGGAAAAGGAACAAAAAAATCTAACTTTAAGACCGTTGATAGGAAAACAAAAGAGAATCCATGATGTATCTTCAATCTCTCCATATCCTCTAGCACAGGAAGCAATACCTTCTCTCTCTCTCTCTCTCTGGTATTGTTTTTTTGTATCATAACACATCTCCAAATTCTCATTTTCTTCATTTGGGTGCTTGTCTGTAATGAGAGATAGCTTATTGTTTCAGCAAATACGCCATACAAGTGAACGACTCTTCTTACGGAGGTAGTTCAACGCAGGGATCCAAAATGCAGATGTAGTCACTTGTATCGACAAGAAGTTCAAATCGGGTACATTGTCAGCTGCCTAGTCCTTTCTAGTATCACGAATAGAACATTTCTCAGGCAACCCACTGTGCTTGACCAAAGAGCAATTCTGCAACAGTGAGATGTCACAACATTTTGATCAGATGTAGTGGATAAGAGGGGTTGAAGCATCTGGTGCTAACAGTTTGTATCAATAAGAAAAAGTCATTTGAGTGAAGAGGTTGCAATGGAATTTTAGGGAAAACCATACCATTTTTGTTGTAATGGAATGTCAGCAAAGAAGGTTCCTCTTATTGCAAATTGGACAAATTGATCCAAGATATAAACTCAATGTGCATGTGTGTTTCTTAAGCATAATTATGAGTTGAGATTATGCGTGTGGCTTTTGTGTTTTGGTTGATTTCTGGTCATTTGCATCTCAAATTTAGTTAGTGTTTTTCAAAACTACTGAAGGGCGGAAAGAGCACAACTGGACGTCAATTCATGATAAGTTCAAGCCCATAAGTCCAATATCGGTAGTAGAGAATACTGACTTCTAACTTTTTTTGTTGCAGAATTTGGAGTGCATGATTAATTTTGATGTCGTCAAAGGCATCATTGCAGAGTCGCTTCTTGGATCCTACATGTTGTCATCTTTAGATTCTCAGTACGTTTATGAACCAGTTTCCTAATGGTTTTTGCTTTTCCCATTTACATTTTACGGTTTTAGTGTGGTGATGGGTATCTATGGCCGTTTGGTCGAAGATATTTTTCTCACCATTCAAATAAATAAGAAAAGGATAATTTGGGAATTAAAAAAAAATAATTAAATAAAAATATTTTTTTGAAGATAACTATGGAGGGGAGTCTTTGTCTAACGGTTAAAGTTTAAGAAGTCTTTGTTGCAAATTAAAGCACAGGGGTCTTTGTCACTAACCCTATAATACAAGGGGTGTTTTTGTAATTTACCCTAAAACAAATAACTATCATTTGTTTTTTGGGGGGATGATTCAACTAAATAATGATAGAATTCTTATCCGACGGTTCTGGTTTATGAAATGCACACCAACACGCATGTACCTCCAATGTAGGACCCACCATGATGGTCATTAATCATCTGAACATGTGACACGTTGCCACGTGATTAGATTTGGTCGAAGAAATCAGTGCAATGTTTGCCCATGTGACGATGATAATCCTTTTACGATGTAAGGGTCAAGTGTAGGCCCATTGATAGTTTCACCAAAATTAGTGACACTGACCATAATCTCCTTTTCTTTAGTTTACGTCATATAGGAGGTTCTGCTCAGTAAGGATTATACTTAAAAAAGAAAAAAAAGAAGAAGAGGATTTTACTTATCGACAACCGCTGGGCTTTGAATGTACTTGAGGCAATGTTTACTTGTAAATAAGATAGAAGAAAGTTTCAGTGGCTATTTTTTTCATTGACCAATTTGACCATGTTTCTTTTGCATTTAGTAATGAATCGTATGATAAAATAAGTTTTATTTTCTCGGATAAAATTTATCCATCTCCCAGGTATATAATTTTTTCATGTTGGGGGAAATTTTATAAAACATAATGGAACAATTTTACCCATTTTAATATTAGTTTTTATAGGTAAAAATGTCATTCTATTACTTACCTGAGAATTCTATAAATATAATGAACATGAATAACTGAATTTACCGAGATAAATGTTACCTAGAAAACATTACCTGAGTAAGTACACTTACTCAAATAAATTACAATGTTGTAAACGAACGAAGCCTAATGTTAAAACATAAAATAATTCAACTAACTTAGACATGGGATTGGTGAATTGAAAGGCACTTTATATCAAACTCTCATGCAAAACCTCCACTCATGCACAAGGTGTAGTGCTAGTCCATGCAATGTCGCATAAGTGTGTATGTGCCCATGAATAACTAGTAGTCTAGCTAGTGCTACTGTTATGTGAGGGATGTAGGGTCTTGGAGTGTCATAACTCATAACGTCAAGTGAGAAAAATTATACTATGAAATCTATGTTGATACCACTCAACACATCCTATGATATATAGAGTAGTCTAGTCTGGGTCTATTCTTTACAAAGCACTCCTCACACCAATTTTACAACATGTCTCATTTTATTAGGAGATGTTCTTAATATACGGTGGGATGGGATTGTGAGGTGTGCTCTGTGATGAGTAAATTCTTATTTGAGTTAAACCTATTTTTTAAACCATGTTGTGGCAAGTTATTGGGGTCATAGGACAACGTATACTTGTTGAAGTCAAAGTAGAGATTGGGTTTTGCGTCGAACAAATTTGCATGATGACAAACAATTCTTCCTAAGGGTGTTCATAGTTCGGTTAGTCAAATCATAGCTATTTTTTTTCAAACCAAATCAGTTCTATCAGTTTTTCAATTTCTCAAACCGAAACCAAACTGATACCACCGGTTAACCGGTTGATCAGTTTTGGTTTTTGACCGATTTGGTTCTTTGGTTATTCAGTTATATATATTATTTAAATATATGTATAAAATTATATTATAAACAATAAATCATATATAATCTATTATAAATATTATAAAAATATATAATATAAAATATAAATAGATAATTATACATATAATATATGTATATATTTGTATATAATATATAGATAATATGCGATATATATTAAATTATATATATATAATATGCATATAAATAAATATACTGGTCGGTTCGATTAATCGCTGCTTTTTAGGTTAATAGAAAACTGAACCGTTCTTTCCGTTTTTCAAAAATACCGAACCAAAATCGGGTTAACTGCATTTTCGGTTTGGTTTGGGTTTTCGGCTTTTATAGACTACCCTACATGCATCCTGCTTCGCTCCAAATAGACTTGTTCATGGGTTGGGCCGGGCCGGGCTCGGGCCAGGCTTTCACTACGGATTAATAGAATTTTCTAAGGCCCGAGCCCGACCCGACTGTCGGGCCTACAACTTGGGCCCGAGCCTGGTCCTCATAAAAAGCCCAAAGCCCGGGCCTGGGCCCGAGCCCGAAATTTAGCCCATACTATTAGCGGCTGAGAGAGAGAGAGATTATAATTATATATATTAAATTACAAAATATATATTTTAATAAATATTATATATTTTATAAAATATATAATACCGAGTCGGGCCGGGCTTTTTTGACAAATCCCGAGCCCGGCCCCAAACACAGTCGGGCTTACTGTGTTAGGCCCGAGGTCAGGCCCGCGGGCCTAATTACATGACCAAGCCCGACCGGGGTGCGGGCCGGGCCATCGGGCTACCCGGACCATAAACTGGTATAGCTCCAAATACAGAATCAGATCAGGCTATCCAACCCGAAACACTGCCCGAACCGATTTTCATCTCCTTACGATCATCGGATATTGCTCTTTGAGTCTTTGACGGTCTCCCTCTCCTCGACGTTTACCGGAATCTATGTCGTTGAAGTTTGAATGCTCTTCCTTATCAGAAAACGAACGCTAGAGCTAGATCTCAGGGGTTTCTACTTCTCCGAGAATGTCTTACCTTACATGTACCAGATTGACGACATGGACCCTGGCTGCGGTTCTTCTGCAAATCTTCGGTCTCTCATTTTTCCTCTATGGGTTTTTTCCCGTAAAACCAGCTCTTTCAGGCGTCAGGTGCCTATTCAATACACTTTCTCCACGTAATTTAACTTCAACGTTTTATATCGGGTGGCGTTCGGCGCTGAACCTATCTTTTTGTATTCATTTTCAGCGGTCCGGAGAGCTATCGTTCTCCGATGTGTGAACCCGTCAAAGATCTCGAGGAGAAGATATTGCCTCCTGATCGGCTAAGATCTTTATACAAGGTTTTCCGTCCAATCCTTTTTACAGCGCGTTGGTTTGATTGAATCCACTTATATTTATTCGTAATTGATTTGCTAGAATGACTGCGGGTTGAAGCCATTATTTCATTTCTGGAGGTTACTTTGTTGATGGTTGTTGAGATCTTCAATTATATTTTTCCCTATGCTTAACTGTCCTGTAACTTTGTTGATAAAAGCACGATTCTCCATTAACCGACTAAGGGAGAAAGAATGTTGCCCATCAGACGTTTACAACTTAGCCTGCATTGTTTTCATTTTTCCCCTTTGAAAGAGGCTCCAATACTTGTCCGTTTTGGTCCCCTCCCCCCTCAGGCATTATTAAGCTGAACTTTGATGGCAGCATTGTAAGTAATCCAGGGCCCTCTGAGATTGGAGGAGTTTTTAGGAATGAGGAAGGGATTGTTATTGCTTTATTCTCTAACCCTATTGGAGAAGGTGACTCTTTTAGGGCTGAAATCCTTGCAACGCTTGAAGGAACTCGAAGAGCAAAGGAATTAAATATCAGCAGTTTGATCCTGGAAGGTGATTTGATGGTAGTTGTTAGTTGGTTGAAGACAGAGGACAGCGGTTTGTGGAACTTTAACAATGAAAAAAAACAGTTCTTATGGCTGGGTAGGGACATTGAGATTTAGTACAGCTGGGTGAAGAGGAGTGCCAACTCATTTGTGGATGGGTTGTTCAAGCAAGGAGTGAATAGGGAGTCTGTATTATGGGCTAGTTTTTAATCTTTTTTCTTTGTACTCCCTTTGTTTTCTGTTTTTGGGGAGCTAAGATATTTTATCTCCCCTCTTGTATCCATATTCCCTCTTTTCTTTTAATTTAATGAAACTGGTGTTATTGATCAAAAAGAAAAAAAAAAGAGGCTCCAATACTGAAACTCTTCCTCCTCTTGAAACCACTATTCGGTCAATCCTCTTCTATAGTTTTCCACCTTGACTAAATCTTTGTATTCTTAACGAGGATTGTTTGTGCGTTTAGACTTGCACAACGAATGTTGGGTGAAGCCATTGCTTTATTTATAGAGATTACTTTATTGTTAGTCATCTGGGACTGTAATTAACTATGTGATTCTACATTGATTAACAGCAGAAAAAGAAAGGTAAACGTTGATAACCAGAATTCTACAACATTATAGGCATTGTTTTTTCTTTTCTTTTCTTTTCTTTTTGGCAAGTAACATTATAGGCATTGTTTCTTCTTTTTATTATATATATAGATCGATGATATTGACAGAGTTAAAGATAAGGGTGGATTACCCAACCAAAACAAAGATTATAACAGAATTTCCACCATACAAGATCAGCCAATGTATTGGTTGAGTTAAGCTAAAAGTGGAGTAAGGAGGACATAGTTGCATTGGTCTTCGTTCAACTCATGTGTTGGTTACAATGGACTCTGTGATTATTTATAATTTTTTTTTAATTTTGTAATTGTAACGTGACATCGTAAGACATAAGTTAATGACTTGATTCCATTGTTGAACTCACTGAGCCGAGTAAAAAAAACCGGAGTCAATGAGATATGCTAGACTGTAGCTAGCAAATGACAAATTGGGTGTTCCCCTCAACCTCCGTTCTTTTGAAGCTAGGTCCCTTTTTGTATAGTAAATAAAAAAAAAGAAAATTCAGAGAAAGAGACGAAATAGGTGTCTTTCCCCCAATTGGTGTTATGGTGTATCCTTTGTAAGGCCAATGGTGAGACTTGCTACCACTTATTAATTTCCCATCATTTTGTTTATGTTATTCGGGAATGGTTTTTGTTTTTGTTTTTGTTTGGGTGCAAGTGGAACCCCCCGCCAAATGTTCGAAGCTTATTCAACCCTACCTTTGTCAACTGGAAGAAAAGGAGGGAGGAGAATTCTGTGGAGGTGCACAAGAGCAGCTGTTTGCTGGTTGGTTTAGGAAGAAAGGGACCAAAGAGTATTTTTAGACAAGGAGAGAAGTAAAGAGGCTTTTGTTGAAACCATTACCATAAGGGTGGTTCATTGGGTGAAGTCTTTGAGCAGTTTGGAGGCATACCCGTTGATGACCTGCTTAGGAAATGGAAGGAGGTGGCTAACTCATCTTTATCCAAGATTGCTATCAAGCCGTGTTGGTCCCCTCCTACTTCCGGGTTTATCAAGCTGAACTTCGATGGAAGTAGTGATGGAAACCTGGCCCATCAGGCATAGGGGTGTCTTTTGGAATGAGGAGGGGAGAGTTATTGCTCTTTTCTCAGGCCCCATTGGTTTGGGGGACTCCTTGATGGCTAATATGGAGGGAATTTGAAATGGAAAAGAGCTAAGCATCAGAAAACTAATGATTGAAGTGGATTCTAAGCTGGTAATTAGTTGGCTGCAAAAGGAGGAGTTGGGTTGGTGGAATTACATTAATGAAAGAAGGAAGTTCAAATGGGTAACTCAAGGCATAGAAATTAAACTTTAATGGGTTAAAATATGTGCTAATCCTTTTGCTGATCCCTTGGCAAAGCAAGGGGTGGGAAGGGATCATCTTTTTTGGGCTGTGATGTAATTTGTTATTGTTCTTGTCTCCTTGGAGAGAGTTCAAAGACTTTACCTCTCTCCGTGGTGTTTCATTGTAATTCTTTTCTTAATTAACGAGAGCTTTTCTGTTATTGATAAAAAAAAAAGAAAATTCATTAAGGTAAAGAAAACAATTACAAATAGGTGATAAGGAATCACCCAAGAAGCTAGGTTCCTTAGGATCCAGTTTGGTCCACTAGAGGTTTGCTGGAAGTCCCTTGAATCTTAGGTGGGATTTTTACATCATAGGTTCTTTAACAAGATCAACAATCCCAATCAGTCCATAACCACCAGTACAAGGAAGTCCAATTCCTTTAGAAATGTCTATGCTCTAAGCCAACTTTACCTAGTCAGATTTTTAAATAAATCCAAATTGTTCTAATCTGGATGGATTTTTTTTTTCTCCATTGATTGGTAAGAACATAGAGTAGGGTTGTCTTGTGATACCTTGCCTTGGTATATTTCTGATTGTTGTCTTACTATACTCTCTCAGATAGGGTGAGAGGAGGACTTTCCCTTTTCTAAATTTGGGAATATGTGGTTAACTGTTAACGCGACCCCTCATTTATTAACTGTGCCAAGTCTTTGTGGGAAGAGGATGTGGATGCTAGATGGGAACACTTAAAGAGAAGAATGCCAACCACAATCCTACACTTGCCCTTGGCCTTCCATCATGGTCCGCCTAACCAACTACAATCCTATACGTAAAGAGAAAATACCAACTACAATCCTATATTTTGTCTTTACATATGATGCTAAAATGCATATTATTTAGACTTATTTTATGTTTGTGCTTTTCTACAGTACCACCCTCTTTGCTATTTGATGTGTACCGTTCTACATCTTGATTCTGTGTTCTTGTTGCAGGAGATGTCTGGAATCCCCCTTTCATTCGATAGATTGATACTAATGGTACATAATTCATTTTTTTTTTCTTTTCTGATCCAATTGGCTGTAATATACTTATCATCTTTATATTTATTTGTATTTTTCTTTTTGATATTCTATGGTGGATGAATTTTACCTTGGTTCACATACATTGTTGGTTTAGGTTGTTGACGGTCTTCCAGCAGAATTTGTTTTGGGAAAGGGTGACCAGCCTCCAACCAAGGTAATGTTGGAAGCTATGCCATATACTCAGTCATTGTTATCAAGTGGAATGGCAGTTGGTTATCATGCGAAGGCAGCACCGCCAACTGTTACTATGCCTCGCTTAAAGGTGAAATGATTCTCATCTTATTGTTGAATGCATAGAGAAACAGATACTTCTTGGTTTCACTCCACTCATACTATTTATCTAAATTTGCAGGCTATTGTTTCAGGGGCAATTGGGGGATTTTTAGATGTGGCATTCAATTTTAATACACAAGCTCTTTTAGATGACAATATTGTTGGTCAGTTTGTCAAAACATGCTATAGTATGATTGCATACTAAATAAATAGAGGTCTTATGTGATTCAGGTCGTACTTTATTTTTTAATCTGCCTTATTGTAGGTCAGTTTTATAATATTAGTTGGAAAATGGTGATGCATGGTGATGAAACATGGCTTAAGTTGTTTCCAGGATTTTTTACACGGCATGACGGAGTTAGCAGTTTCTATGTAAGTTCTTTTTCCTCATTATGCATGGTGTAGTTCCTTATTTGTGGAAGGAATACTCCCCCCCTGGTTGGAGCAGTGGAAGTAAATGTGGTACATTTTGCAGTTTGTTGGAGTATGTGGAGAGTGAGGCCTCTTGCTAGTGGTTTTTAAATGGTTGATTTTGAAAAATTTGTTAGTGTTAATAGGAAGAGGCATTTTATGTTTTAGTTGGCATGCAGTTTTGGGTGTAGAGAGTGACAAACTACCAATGCTTTTTTCTGTTGGTGTTGCAGTTTTCTGGTTTATCTCTACATTTGTAAAATTAATGAAAACCTTTGATCTCTCTTCATTGAAAAAAATAACATTATGTTTGTTAGTGTTGCAACACATGCAAGGTCACACCACTGTGGTGGTGAAGTATATTCCGTGGATTGAGAAATATGGTTATTGAAATAATTTAGGTAAATGTGCAATGTTAGAAGTCTTTGTAAGCTGATAAAAAGGGTCATTACCCCAGTTTTAGTACTAACCATCTTTTAATGATGGAGGACAAGGTAGGAGGTCCTACAAATTTCAGATTTGTTGGTGGGCATTTGTGATGGTGGAGGGGGGGGGGGCTTTGAGTGATAAGGATGAAGAATGAGAGAAATCTTTCTTTAGAGTAAACATCAAATAGAAAGATCATTAAGAAAAAAAGTAGGTGAGAATGAGGAAAAAAGAGAAATATTTCCTGACAACAACCAGAATTCACTAAACCAAACTTTATTTCATCAAATCAACTCTCCCCAAGTTACAGTTACAATGTTATTGTTTACAAACTCACTGTGAAAACTTGGATGCCCTTTTACAGACTTCAATTTGGACTAGGAAACTTACCCAGAACAACTTCTAATTGCTTTAAGAGTTAAGAGTTAAGACTAAGACAAATCCATAGGTAACTCATAGGGACACTTAAATAAGGACTCTTACTCCTAAAGCAACTCTAGTAACACTTGAATAATCCTAATAAAACTAATTTAATGTAAATAAACCAGAAATTACTAAAAATGGTAAATCACAATTTTACTTTAAGCAGTGATTATGAGAATTACTATAACTAGTAAATCTGAAAGTAACCATAAATAGTAATTTTGAAATAACAATAAATGTTTAGATATCTTAGAATCTTATTACACCTATAACAGTATAACTAGAAAATAAATTTAGCAAAATTGAAAAATACCAATATTCCTGTACATTTTCTCAGTGTACATGGGCTTGATTGTATATTTGTGCTTTATGATTAATGCAATGTATTGCCTTACCAATTCAAAAAAAAAAAATCCCTATCACTCATAAATTCTGAACTTGGTGTAGGAACTGGAAAACTGATTTATTTTTTCATGGATTCTTTCCTTGCTTCTATATCTGCATCATGATATCCTAAGAGGGGTGGACTGTACATGGAAATAACCTTAGGTATTTTCTTGTATGAAGTGGCCACTCTGAGACTTAACTCATGTTCTCATGCTTGTCAGCCTGAGATTTACCATTGCACCAAACACTATTTGTAAGCTGATAAACATGTCAATTATATGGATGGTATGCAAATACTAGCTTCAGAGAGAGAGAGAGAGAGAGGGATGACAAGTGAAAATTTGTGTAAATGGAACTATAGAAGTACTATGGCATGTTTAACACAGAATATCTGTGAGTCTCCTGGCCACGTCATTTCATTCTTATTCATCTCATATGTGGGCATCACCTGATGCTACTTGAGAACTGGAAATTGTCCCTGTTGGTATTTGTAACAAGTTTTAATTTTATGGTGAATGGATACTATTGCTTTCCTTTTTATTGTGGTTGATGTGTTTTTGGGTCATTATCTTGATCTTGCAGCTAATTCTAGTACTCGACTTTAGGTGAAGGATACTATAGAAGTGGATCACAATGTTTCTCGTCATTTGAAAACTGAACTAATCGCTGATGACTGGAACCTTCTGGTAACTTTCTATATATATTTATATTATTTAATTAGATGCTTGTCAGTATCCTACTGTAGGTCTGTTGTTTTCTAAAGATGCACAAATGATTTCACTTATGCCAACTGTGATATATTTTCTGTCAATCTCTTGGTATGCATTAATTTGATCTGCTAATCTCATGTCATAATTCCTAATCTTGGGGCTAGCCAAGGCTTTGGGCTCCCTTTTGTTTTTTTTTTTTTGGGGGGGGGGAAGGCTTTTGGTTTGTTGCCCCTTTGATCTTTCTATTTCCTTTTTTTGGTCTTTGTACGTTTCCTTTTTTATGCTGCTATATATTTTTTTCCTCAGTGATACCCAATTGCCAATAAATGAAGACTTTCTTTCTTTGTTTTTTTACTATGGTCACTAAACCCCAAGTCATTCTGGTATGGTCATTGCCATTTGACCTTTTTTTTTTAAATATATTTACTACAAATAGCTCAAGGATTATTTATACTGTTTATAGTTGCATGATTGTCTTAAGCAAACTAGGGTAGAGATAGTCCTAAATCAGTTACAAAAAGAGGAGAATACAAAGTCTCTGCAAGAGAAAGAAGGGACAAGCAAACGATAAGGGAAGCTCAAGTTGTTAAAACTTAAAACAGCAAGGGAACAGCATGCGGAAAATATAAAGTAGAAATACAAAAGACACAATCTAACCTGGTAACTCTGAACCCCAATACAAAGTCTTACCTCTCTTGAGAGCACCCCAGGCCCCAGCCCAGCTATTTTTCATCAAATTAGCAAACCTTGGAGTCCATTTGAACAAGTGGTTTACTCTGGAAGCCCAATCTCTTGCCTGTTATGTAATTCTGTGACTACTAGGAGCTGTCAGAACAAATCCAAGCAATCACCACCTGAAAACCACCTCTATCTCCACCATCTTGATGCCTTGGGAGTATAGTTACCTCAAACCCTGAGGAAAAGAAGCTTGGCATGAATAACATCCCCAAGTCCAATCACACCAGAAGAACTGATCATAGTGTTATTTTTTGACGAGTAATAGTAAAACTTTATTAATTCAGAAACTGATTTGGAGTTGTGATTTCATACAACATCCAAGGGAGAGGCGCGAGCTGCAGCCCCTCCTAGAATCTTACAATTAAACTAGGAAAAAAATACAGGAATCAAAGCTGAGCCCAAAACAATTCTTCCCTATTTRCCCCTTGCTTGGCTAACACATCAGACAAAGTATTTGCTGATCTCCCCACCCATTGTAGAGAGACCAACATATTCCTTGTCAACCAACTGAATTTCTTCATTTCGTTCTTGTAGCACCATATAGCATCTTCAGGATTTTTCAACCAGCCCACCACCACCTTGGAATCCCCTTCAATTATCAGATTTTGTACCCCCAACTGGTTTGCAAATTGCACCCCTTGTACAACAGCTAATAGCTCTACCCTGATGGAGTCTCCGACTCCTAAAGGACCCGAGTAAAGCAAGACAATCTCTCCATTCTCATTTCTCAGAACACCCCCCATTCCGGATAATCCTTGATTACCCATGCTACTTCCATCAAAGTTCAACTTCAGTGAGCCTTCAGATGGAGGAGACCAGCTTGTAATTAACTTGTCCTTTAAGGGTGAACACCTCACTACTGCTGACCAGTTTCTCCAAAGGTCATTAAAAGAGAATTGATGAAAGATTTCCAAAGTCTTTAGCTAAAGGATTGCCCTATGCAACACATAGTCTTTTAGTTCCTGATTGCTCCTTTCCTTTTCTTGAAAAATTCTAGCATTCCTTTCTTCCCAAAGAGTCCAGATTAGGGCAGCGCGAGCGCATCTCCACATAAGTCTCCCTTTTTTTTGTAGGCCAAGAGAAAGTAGAATGGTCAAAGATCATGCGAACTTCTGTTGGTAAGCTCCAACTACTCCCAAACAACGAAAGTAGCCTAGCCCAAAGGTCTGCAGAAAATGGACAAGATATTAGTAGATGGTAACAATCCTCTCCGTGAGCTTTGTAGAGGATACACCAGTTGGGAGAAATACAGAGGAAATGTCTTCTCTTTTGTAGGTTATCTAGAGTGTTTACATGGACAAGATATTAGTAGATGGTAACAATCCTCTCCGTGAGCTCTGCAGAGGATACACCAATTGGGAGAAATACAGAGGAAAGGTCTTCTCTTTTGTAGGTTATCTAGAGTGTTTACTTTCCCATAGAATACTTCCCAACAAAACGCCATAATCTTTGGGGGAACTGGCCTACACCAAATTTCCTTTGACGAAAAGGGTTGTTGAGTAGAAGATTGAGAGATGGACTTGAAATAAGAAGCACAAGTAAAGGTTCCTTTGGGTCTAGGAGCCCACACCCTTTTATCTGGCTTGGAGGGATCCAAGCAAACCTGATTAAGGCAACATAGCAAGCCAGAGAGAGGTTCAATTTCACCATCCCTTAGTCCCCTACGAAACCCAAAATCCCAATTAGGAGCCAAGGGTGTTCTCGAGGGTGAGACAAATTTTGAGACCACCTCTTTTTTATACAAAGAAACAGAAAATAACAAAGGGAAAAAGGTCTTTTAGAGGGGTGTCTCCTACCCAAATATCCTCCCAAAAGCGAACAACATTGCCAGAACAAACTTCATACCTGATAAAATTGAGAAATTGAGGCAGGGTGTTGTGAATGGCCTTCCAAGGTGTTGCCATGTTAGCCTACCTTAATACACCAACATCCCATCCATTCTCTAAACTCCCATGAATGCTTCTCACCATCTCATGCCACAGTCTCTCACTTTCCAATGGCCATCGCCACAACCATTTCCCTAACAGAGCTTGATTTTTTTCAATCACCCTCCCAAGTCTCAAACCCCCCTCTTCTTTACTTCTGCAAACAATTTCCCATTTAACCAAATGATCCCTTTTTTCTTGTCTTGGCTCCCACAGGAAGTCTCTCATCAACTTCTCCAGCTTCCTAGCTTCCCTAGGTGGTATCCTAAAAACAGACAGAAAGTAAATAGGTAAGATAGCCAAAGTAGCTCTTATTATGGTGATTCTCCCTCCCAAAGAGATATAATTCTTCTTCCATGAAGGTAATCTCTTCACAAACTTTTCTAGCACTGGGGTCCAAAATCTGCTCTCCTTAGGATTTGCCCCTAATGGAAGCCCTAAGTAGGACATAGGCCAAGAAAAGATGGAACACTCAAGACACTCCGCAATAACCTTAATCTCCCCAACCTCCAAGATTATACCCGCTATGCAACTCTTCTCCAAATTTATTTTCAAATTAGAAACCCTTTCAAATCCTTTGATTAGCTCCTTTAGGTTTGCTACCTTCCCGCTAAAACCTCCTTCACAAAAGATCATTAGGTCATCTGCAAACTGAAGGTAGGTGACTGGGACTTGGTGTCTCCCTATTCTCCAACCCCTAATGGCATCTTCTCCATCAGCCTCAGTAATGATCCTACTAAACACATCAGCTATTAAGGTAAAAAGGAAGGGAGAGAGTGGATCCCCTTGCCTGATGCCTCTACAAGCTGGAAAAAAAAAATCCTTCACCACACCATTTACCAAAATAGAGTAGTGACAGGTACTAATACACCCAAATATCCAACTACACCACTTGTCCCCAAATCCACAGTTTCTCATCATCTTTAATAAAAACTCCCAGTCCGCCAAGTCATAGGCCTTTTCAAGATTCAATTTACAAACAAAACCTCTTTGCCTAGACCTTTTCATTTCCTGCACACCCTCATTCGCAATTAAAATCTGATTTGTTATTTGTTTCCCTTGAATTAAGGCCCCTTGAGTTTCACTGATGATAGAAGGGAGAACTGTTTTGATCCTCAAAGAAAGCACTTTAGCCAGAATTTTATAGATGCTTGTCACCTGACTAATAGGCCTAAAATCTTTTGGGTGGTTGGCGTCAATCTTCTTAGGGATCAAGGCCAAAAAAGTGGCATTGATTCCAAGGCTTATTACATGATTGTCTTCAAATTCCTTAAAGACTTAAACTAAATCCTCTTTTAGCACCTCCCAACAATCTTGATAAAAAGCCATTGTAAAGCCATCTGGACCTGGAGCCTTGGATCTATCCATTAGAAATACAACTTTCTTAATCTCTTCTTCCTTGAAATTCCTTTCCAACCACCTTGCCATTCCGTCCTCAAGTCTTGGCCATTCCACCCCTCCCACAACTGCTCTCTCACTCAAAGGTCTTCTATAGATCGATTTGAAGTGGTCCACGAGTTTTCCCGCTATGTCATACTGGTTGGTAATCACCTCCTCTTCTATCTCTAGCTTGGTCACAAAATTCTTTCTTCATCTCCCATTGGCCAAGTCATGGAAAAATCTAGTGTTCCCATTGCCTTCCTTAATCCACTTGTGTCTAGATTTTTGTCTCCAATTGATTTATTCCCTCAATAACCCCTTTTCCAGATAGGGGTGTCAACGGTATTCGAAAATCCGATTTTGAATTCGATATTCAACATAATCGAATCGAATTTGGATAATTCGAATATCTAATCAATTGAATTCGGATATCCTATTCTTACCGAATAGTTAATCGGATTCGAATTCGGATATGACCTGATTCAATTCGATAAATATCCGAATTCGACCGATTATTTAATTCTTATATATAACATATAAAATATTTTATATAATTTATATATAATAATGATGTTATATAAATAATTATATATTTTATATCAATAAAATATTTATTTTATATATTTATTAATTATCTAAAATAATTAATTAATCGAATTCGAATCGAATCGAATATTTGAATATTTAATCAGATTCGAATTCGGATATTAATTTTCAATATCCGTCGGATATCAAATCAAATTCAGATATCAGATTTTTTAATCGGATTCAAATTGGGATATTGCCTGATCCGGTTCAAATTCGATCCGTTTACACCCTACTTCCAGATCCTTTTTTAACTGTCTCCTTAACACTCTGTCATCCTCAGTCAAACCATTTTGGGAGTCTTTTGCATCCAAGTTTTCTATTCGAGAGATTAAGCTCATTTTTTGCTCCTCAATTCTGCCAAACTGATCTCTATTCCACTCTTTTATTTTGACTCTCAACCTCTTTAACTTCTTATGAAACTTGGCCCCCTTCCATCTTACCCCCCTCACCTCCTCACCCCACCACTCCTTCACTTTTTTCAAAAAATCTGGATGGATAAGCCACATATTTTCAAATCTAAAAGGTTTGGGTATAGTAGGAAAAGACTCAATGCCTATCTGGATAGGACAGTGATCAGAGGTGACCCTAGGTAATGCTATAGCAACCAAGTTTTCCAAACTGTTCTCCCGGGCTAGATTAACCTGTCCAACTTTGAACACAAAGGGGTTTTCTGAAGGTTAGATCAAGTATAATTGGTTTGCAGTAGAGGTATTTCCTTCAACTCACAATCTTCAATAAAACCATTAAATTTCACCATGCTTGTTGTGATTGCTTGTTGGGGATTACTGGTTTCTTCAGAGAATCTAATGACGTCAAAATCCCCACCTAGGCACCAAGGGCCATCCCATAACCCCTTGATTGCATATAATTCCTCCCACATTTCATTTCTCTCTTTATAGGAGTTAGGGCCATAAACATTGGTTAGAACTCATACACACCCATCCTCTACATTCTTGAACTTAATGGAAATGGAGAATCTGCCTATCAATTCTTCCACTGCTTCCACCACGTCCTCCCTCCACAGTGTTACAATCCCCCCCAAGGCTCCCCAAGGAGCCAAAGTCCAACCTACACCTCTAGACCTCTAGAAACTCCTAACCAATCTCCCATCTAATTCCATCAGTTTGGATTCTTGTAAAAGTACAATGTTGGGTTTTTCCCTTCGGAGTAGGTCTTTGATCACCCTTCTCTTTCTTGCACTCCTTAGACCTCTTACATTCCAGCTAAACCTGTTCATGGGCCGGGTGGCCCGACGGGCCGGCCCGGCCCGACCCCCAGACGGGCTTGAACAGGCTTTTTGACCCGCGGGCTTAACCTCGGGCCAAAAAGCCCGACCCGCATAAAATTCAAGCCGGGCTCGGGCTTTGCCAAAATAGCCTGGTCCGACCTATAGTTAAACCTAAGTAAAAACACTATGTGATGTCCATTTGAATAAATTTTTTGATTTGAGAATGTTGTTGATTCACTTGTAGGCCCATTGTTCATTTAAATAGGGGAAAAAAACATCTAAATTAAAATAGAAAATGTCCATTTGAATAGGGAAAATTTTGAATTTCTTTTATTAGGTCGGGCTTCGGGCTCGGGCTCGGGCTTCGAGCTTTTTATCAGGGCCGGGCTCGGGCCCAAGTTGTAGGCCTGTTGGTCGGGCCGGGCTCGGTCTCGGGCCTAACATTTTTCTGTTAATAAAGAGTCAAAGCCCGGCCCGGCCCATGAACAAGTCTAATTCCAGCTAATAATTTTCATCGAGACAAAAATAGAAAAACACCCATGAAGAAGCCTTTGTCTCCTTATTTTAGGCCCTTCTACCACTAAATTCTAAATCTCCCTCAATGTCCGAGATTAGCCTTTCCACTTCAGATCTTTTCTTCTTCTTTTCTCCTCCCCCCCTTTCTGATACAATAAGCATCCTCTTCCTTCTCTACATCCTTTCCATCTAATATCTGAAATAGATCTTTACCACGTTCGTACTCATTTTGGCTGCAACAGCTCTCTATGACTCCCTTTTTTTTATTAGTTCCTCTAGCCCTGTACAAATCAATTTCCAGATTCTGTCCACCTCTCACTTGTCCCCTTACTACTTCCTTCCACTACCCTCTCTTCTCCTTCCACTATCACCCTCTCTCTTACATCAAATCCTCCTGGATGGGAAGCTGGAGTATCTGTAAATGTCCTCAACTATGAAAATTTCTGGGTTTACATCAAGTAATAGTCACACTTTTATTTCTTGAGGGAGGGAGGGAGGGAGGGAGAAGTTACTCTTCTATCAATTCAATCAACAGAAACTTTAGCAAAGTTTTATTGCTGGGCACTAGCTTATTTAGATATTTTGCCTAAACATAGCTGATATCTGAATTAGGTTCCACTAATGAAGAGCATCTCATAGGCCCATTAAATCTAAAAGTTTGTCATCTTACTTGGTCCCACTAAATGTAATGCAGAAAAAAACCCAAGCTAATCAATAAACTAAGAACAATGCTGCCTAATTAAAGGCGCCTATGTTCTTTGTATAATTTTATTTTTGCTGAACTTTCATGACTGACAAAATGGGAATTATAAGCCATCCTAGTTAGTGAGTTTAACCAACAAAACTCAAAAACCATCTCTTCCTAGCCTTCTGCATATTCTTCTTCTCTTCACTGTCTTCTGCTCTTTTACTTATCTGAATGTGGTGCTATTTCTGAAGTTTTACTGATATAGGCACATCCCTTTTCTTGATAAACCAAGGTCCTCAGTGGAAAGACAAAGAAGAACCCTATTTCTAATGATGAAAATCAATACATGAGGGGTAATTTTATCTTCTAGTACCTATGGTTTTTGATTAAAATTAGGAGTGTCCCCCTGTATAAAAAAAGGGTCTTGTCCAAATGACTTTATTTTCTTTTCTATTCTTGTTGCTGATTTGCTTAATCTGTAATTCCTTATCTTGGCTTATCCAGTCCTAATGATAGAATATGGACTGTTGACCCTCATGGCTGTTTTTTTTTTTTTTAATTTTTCGTTTATTTCTCAGTTCTCTGCCCTAGGATTATTCTCAGTTTCTGACTGATGCCATTTGGTTAGGTTCCACCACACTGAAAAGAAGGGTCTTAATTAGGATGTGATACACCAGAAAGTTAACTTCTGTGACATGCTTCAATGCAGACAACCTTCATGGTTCCCTTCAGCCCTCTGCAGCTCTCATTTTCTTTGCATCACCATCACCTATGAATCTCCCTGCTCATATACCTGGGGGAGATGGAGTCCTACTCTTTTAGAGTCTTCCAATGACCTGGCTAGCTCAGCTGCTAGAGGAGGGTAATAAGGAGTGTTTTGGATTGGGGCTCTAGCCTACCATTCAAGAGTTCTTCAGATGAGTGTTTGGGGAGGCTGATTGCTATTATCTGCCTGAGTTTCTTCCCCTGTAATTTATCCTGTGCTCTATTCTTCTGATTCCATCTATTAATAAAAGCTTGATTGTTACCAATAAAAAAATCTCATTATCAAACATATTAACCAGAAAAGAATTAGTTTGAATCGAAACTGTTTGATTTGTTTAAATTTTAACATATTTCTTTCCATGAGTGTCATAGTAAATGTCTGATATATTTGTTTCTTTTGTTGCAAAGGTTTCATGGAGTAATTTCATCTTCATGTATCATTATTCTGAGTTCTCTGTGTTTTCATCATTCTTATTTTCAACTACAGAATTGTAGTTTTCTCTATCTTTTCATTGTGTCCTCATTCTAACTGAATCTTTTCTTTAGATTCTTCACTATCTAGGCTTGGATCATGTTGGGCATATTGGTGGGCGCAATAGGTAAATCTCTTATTCGTTTTCATTACTCACTATAGTCCAAATGTTATGTTTCTTTAATTGTTAATATAATCCAAATATTATCATTCTTGCTCCCAATTCAAGAGCTTATTTTAGATCTTGGTCCAACAAAATTCAGTATCTTGATGAGCCCAAAACTGAAGGAGATGGATGAAGTTGTTAAAATGATTCACATGAACAAAATCCTGCCTCAAGACGATCCTCATGGACAAACACTTCTGGTTTGTGCTGCCTTAGTTCTCACTGTCTTATATTAATACTATTTACTTGATAAACTTTTTCTCTATCCGTCAAGTCCTCTGGATCTTTTGTTATTACTAGTTATTATTCATACTATAAATTATGACTAAAAATAAATCAATAAGATAGTGTAATTAAGCCTAGCTTTTCAGTTTCTTATTAATGAAGATTTTGATAAGAACAAGGGTAGATGATAGTGGAAGTTCCTCTTGGTATACAGAATGAGACACAGACATCATGCAGAACCTTGATTGTTTTTATCTCTGGAAATCCCTCTTAAACTACATTACTCTTTTGAGCTGCCACTGCATTCTTGACTTCTTCTAAGTTGCGATTGCTATTTCTTTCCCCTGGGGGATTATGGATGAATTTATTTTTTTATCAATCTAATAGTGTTGCTTTACTATAAATTCCTTTTTCCAGGTTTTAGTCAGTGATCATGGCATGACTGGAAATGGGAATCATGGAGGGTCCTCATATGATGAAACCGACTCCTTAGCAGTTTTCATTGGTCTACGTTCTAAGGTTCCAGATTATGCATCAGCAACAAATAATGCAGCTTTCCAGGTAATTTATATATTTGATTGTTTTCCTTTCTTTATTCATTTTGGTTTTGACTGATCCCATTTTACTTTTTTGTGTTTAAATATAGATACAACATTACTGTTTCCAAACCCTGGGACTGAAATGAGAATTTGTAAACTTAGGTTGATAGGAAAGCTTTATAAAATGGCTACAAGATCAGCGATGTTGCATGGAATGGATTTTTTTTTTTTTTTTTACTTTCTTTGAATCAGCAATAAAGAAATTTTATTCAAAAGAAAACTCTGAATTACAATATTTCAGAAATAGAGGATTCATCAAAAAAAAAAAAATCAGAAATAGAGACTAAGGTAGCATATGGAGTAAGCAAAGGAAAATATATGATAACATAATGTATCAATCCCTTAGAATGTCCTTCCAGAACCTTCCAAAATTGCCCTTATTGAGCATCATTGAACACCTTTTTCACTAGAACACAATCCACAAGAAGCCAGCAAAAATCAAGAAGCAATAGGACTCCTATAAGGAAGGTTTTCCTTGGAAGTTTTAGTGGGAACTTGTGCTTTCTTGCTGGAGTTATTTTTTCAGTGGCAGGAGTTCTTTCTGTTTGGTACGCTATTGATTATTGTGCCTCCTCTTGATGGTACTGGATATTGCATGTTTGCATGATCATGGTGCATATGAGCATGTGTAGGTTATGCTAGTATAGAGTTTTTTTTTTTGCTCTTTTCTTTGCAAGGAGGCAAATGTTTGAGGTTTTTTCTTTTCTTTGCACTCCTTCCCATTATAGTTTTTGCACACTACTCTTTTCTTTCTGCTAATAAATTCTTATGCCTTGTAGAAATTAGAAACTCCTAATTTATTCTTTATTTTGGAATATTTTGTTTTCCTTATCATCCAACAGATAATTTGCATTGAGGTATATGCGTTTTTTTTTTCATAACTTGCACCTTGTTCTGGTTGTCCAGGTTGATATAGCACCAACTTTGGCTCTTCTTTTTGGTGTGCCTATTCCAAAAAACAACATAGGTGTCTTGATTGAAGGAACTTTTGCCTCCTTGACAGGTGGACTTTCTTTCTCTTTGCTCACAATTTCAAAAAAGAAGAATAAGAAACATATAGAGAAAACACCAAGGAATTATAATCAATACTCTTGTTCGCTTTCTAATCACCTCCAAGATTTGTGGAACCATTATTTTCTTCTAAAGAGCTGCATATAAATTTTCATTATAAGAATACCGGATTTTAAATTGCTTTCGTCTTCACTATTTTTCTTTTAAATTTCAGTAGTCCAGATGTTGATGCTGCTTATTTTTCAGATCTGCATACTCATTCCTTTAACAATCTGTATGCCACTATGCACTCTGCGTTATCACTATCCTTTCGTTATGGTTTTAATATACAATTCAAGGTTGATAATTTGCACAATATTCCTTTCTTGTTTCCTCTATAGCCTGATGCACCACGTCATTTATCCAATAGAACAACATCATGGGTATTGGGTTGGGTGATCGGGAGAGTTTATAGGAACTGGGGGAGATGAAATTTTATCCTATAAATTGAGGGACAGATTGCAGAAGGAAAGAAGGTGGGCATCCAGGCACTAGAAGGATGAGAGATAGGAATGGTTCCTCTTCTATGAAAATGGTTGTGAAGATTCCTTGGTGAACCTGGTAGCTTTTGGCATTTGTGATGCAGGCTCCAGTAACAGTCACAAATGAATATCAAGGGAGCATTTAGGTGATTCTGTTTTGTCTATAAACAGAAAAAATGCACTAAAGACATAAAGAGAGGTAATAAGTCAAAGTCTGCCTACAGCCCATAATGAAGATAAGAATCCAAAAATAAAATGCTGCAAAAATGAATCCCAATTCCAAGAACCTCTCTTCACCTGCTCCCTTAGTAAACATGTCCACAATCAAATTATCCTTTCTTTGGATGTAACAGAACGAGGGGCTCAACCTACTTATGTTCAACTTTTGCAAAATTTAGGTATAAGGGGTTAAGCTGGTGTTGTTTTTCCTGGGTTGGGTGATGTCTTATCACCTGTTTGTATCCTCCTTTTTTTGTTTCATTAATAAATTTTCTTCTTTATTTATCTTCAAAAAAAAGTTTTGCAAAAGATTTTTTTTTATCAGAAGAAGATAATTATTTTAATAGAATTAAATAAACCAGTAGCAGTACAATGTGATGACAGGGATGCCATCCCAAGAACTTTTCAAGTCACAGTTACAAAGAAGTCCCAAAAAAAGATAATAGGTTCCCAGCAGCCCAAAGTACATCAGATTACAATTTTGCCCAAAACAAGCCAGGTCTATCAACTCCTTGCTTTGCCTATTTATCTGCCATTCCGTTTGCAGTCCTTATCCGGCCAAAAGTAGAGTTGAATCTCTTTGCCAAGGTATCAATTTCCCTAAAAGCATGTCTGTATTTCCATGGAGCTGATCTGTAATTCTTGGACCAAGAGATGACTAACTGAGAATCTCCTTCGACTTCCAATTCCCTTACTCCAATTTGTACTGCAAACTTTAATCCATGTAAGAGAGCCATCACTCCAGCCTGTACTGAAACTCCAAATCCAATTGGTCTTGAAAATAAGGACACCACCACTCCTTCGTGGTTTCTAAAAGCACCTCCTACCCCTATTCCTGCCCTTCCTGGATTACCCAATGAGCTACCTTCAAAGTTTTGCAAAAGAAGTTAGTATCAAACAAGGTTTTCAAACTGTCATTGCCCCAAACGGTCCGACCGTTCAGCCCATAAACTGGTCAGAGTGCCTGCTCCATTTCACCCCTGAACCACTATTTCCCCAAAAACTGTTGAATTGGTGAACGACCCACTGATCCAGGTGGTTGAACCATTGATCTGTTTGACCCGGACAACATTTTTTTTGGCGAACTTTTTTTTTTTTTAATTTATTTTTTTAAATGCCACAGGCTGATCCATTTAGGCTGGAAAGTCAAACCACTGACCTGGAAACCGGTGGCCAAAGTGGTTCCGGTTCTGGGTCGGTTTTTAATACATACGGGGGGAAACCTGGTGGAGGGGCAGGAAGGGCTTGTCAATCACAACCAATAACAATCTGGGAGCTTTGTATCTAGAAGATAGAAATTGCTCTATGGGTCCCCATGCTCAGTATCTTGTTGAGCAGGTTATTTTGTACGTCTCGATACTTTACACTTAATAAAAAAAAAAAATAGATTGATTGTATCTTCAACTTTTCAAAAATTCTAAAAAAATCTCTATGAAGGTTCTACAAACTTATTTACCCTTAAATGATTAACCCTATTCCTGAGATTCTAACAATCTAGAAAATAAAAAAATAAAAAAAACAAAAAATTGAAATCACCCAAAAATTACAAAATTTCCATTGATTGAAGAATAGGAAGAATCTTATTTTTTTTTTCTTCCATAGATGTTTTTTCCTTGCTTCCATGTCTGCATTAGAATGCCGCCTTCAATCCCAAAGGATTTTAAGGAAAGACAGAAAGAAAAACCCCTATTGACTTTCAAAACAAAGATAACAATCAGAACCTTCAAAAGAAACAAAACAAATTTTGAGGTAATTCCGACAAGCAGTAAAGTCACTGCTCTTGAAGTCCCTTAAATCCCTATGAAAACCCAAATTCCAAAGAGATTAGACAACACAACCTAGACAGGAATTAATATTTTGATCACAATGGTTGGATATGTGGTAGAGCCTTGGAAACTTTTGGCAAAGAGGTGAATTATCCATCAGGGGTCTTCTTTTGAATCTAACCTTTCCCTCAGAGAACACTTAGTACAAAAATATGTGGAGAAGATAAATGTCATTTTCTGTGAACATCCCGTTCTCTCTTCTGCAAAGATTGGCGTGTTTCTGGTTGTGATGCTATCTTGCATCCTTTTTCAAGGGTGTTTTTGATCTTTCGCCTTTTCTCCTCTTTTATTGTCTTCAACTTTTTATTAAAACTGATATATTTACAATATGTTTTATTGCTTGTAGTTGTATGCTATAGTTTTTTTCCTTCTCTCTCCCTTTTTTTTCATTAACAAGAATGGTGCTTGAATTACTTCACTTTGTTGTTTGATGACTATAGATGACCAGTGGTTGAGAGCTTTGGAGTTGAATTCCTGGCAATTATTAAGATTGCTGCAAGCACAACTACCTCATTTATCCCAGGGTTTGCCATGTAAAGATCCTACTGTTGAGCAATACTCTCAAATCAGTAAATGTAGTGGAAGTGCAGAGCTGAAGTTTCGTTGCCTAATTTCAAATGCTGCAGCTCTCCATGATGCCTGGAGATTGAATGGAGCTAGAGGTTTCAGGTGCAATTATTATTAGATTGATCAAGGATTAAAATACCAATACCTATTTGTTTTATCAGTCATATTGTATCAGAAATTGCTATTATGATGAATGCCCAAGTATCACAAGTTCATCAATGATTTTTTAATTGTATAATTACGTTGTGATATCTTGAATTAGTTTGGTTTGACTAGATTGTTTGAATTAGTTGCCAAACTTTTCTTAAATAGATATCATATTTATGATGCATTCTTAACTAAAAGCTAAAAGACACAAGTGACACAATAACCTGGTATCTGAGAAATCCAGGTGATCTGGTCTGAGTGGAATTCTATTTCTAGGATATTTGACAACAAATTCTCTCCTATAGTGGTGGTCCAGAGAAGGCTGATGGGATTTTTTTTTTTTTTCGAAGAGAAAGATAACTTATATTCAAAATAAGGGGAGAGGGATGTACATAAGAGATGTACAAACAGGCCAGAAAAATAAAAAAGAAAGGCCTGGATCAACTAAGATGGCAAAGTGTTAGCACTATACAAAAAATCCCTTCCCAAGCCTTGTTTTGCTAAAACATCAGCAGTTCAGTTGATATCCCAGGGAATCCATCTAAAGGTGCAGTTCAGCAGAGAAGACAGCTCATGGATTTCAGCAAGAAGGTGAGCTCTCCCCCATGGTCCCTCATCTGAGTCTTTTGTCCACTTGATGGTAATCCTTGTATCTCCTTCTACTGCTAAGGGACTGAAATGGAGTCTCTTAGCAAACCTTAAGCCTTCTAGAAGGGAGTGGACTTCTGCTTCAGAGGCATGTACTGCTTGAACCAGACCACTAAAAGCCCACTAGTTGTCTCCGATAGAGTTTCTAACAATGCCCCCTATTCCAGCTGCTGAGGGAGGGAGCAGCGACCTTCTAAAGCTGCCATCAAACTGTGACAGGTACTCACATTCCCTCCTTGGGGGTGGTAGAGCTGTTGAAGTTGGAGAGGAAGGGGAAGTATGCAGAATCTGCAGCCAGTTTCTTTGTAACTCCCCTCTGCTCACATCATCAAAATGTTGGTGGACCAGCATTCATGAGAAAATTAAGGATAAGATCTTCTCATGAATACTATGACTATCCAAAGAGGAGAAACTATTTTCGGAAATTCTTAGGCAGAAATGTTAGCTGCTCTTACAGGGATCCGCTTAGTCAACAGACTGGGTATTCAGAACTTCTCCATTAAAGGTGACTCAGCAAATACCATAAAATGGTTAGGAAAGCAGGAGGCTGGACCATGGAGACTTAGTCATTTCCTAGCCAGAGGCAAGGGACTTATTGGCTTCTACAAATGCATCTCTGTTCTGGATTCCAAGGGATTTAAATGCCATTGCAGATGGGTCAGCAAAACTAGGTGCTATTTTAGAGACCTTGTATTGTGACAAAATTCCACCTTCAGAGATGAGAATGGTAAGGTGCTTGCTTTGTTTTCAGGCCCCATTGGGAATGCTGCCTCTCTAAGAGCTGAGATATGTGCCTTAATGGAAGGCTTAAGGAAGACAAAGGAGCTGAGTATTCATAGACTAATTGTGGAAGGAGACTCAAAGCTGGTTACAGAAGGACAATGGACTGTGGAAATATGCAAATGAGAGAAGGGAGGCTAAATGGCTAACTAGAGGGTTGGAGGTTCAGTTTCAATGGGTGAAGAGGACTGCAAATGCTTTTGCAGATACGTTGGCGAAACAAGGGGTGGGAAGGGAACAGATGTTTTGGGCTGTATTGTAATTTTCTTTTCTTTTCTATTTTTCGGGAGAGTTAAGCCTCCTTACCTCTTCCCGGATTGTTGTTATATTATTATCCATTAATAAATTGATTCTGTTATTGATCCAAAAAAAAAAAAAGAAAATCTTTAGGGGTCTGATCCCTGTTTTGTACTTGAACACCTTCTTGTGTACCCCTCTTTTTTTCTTCAATGAAATCAGTTAACTTTTCTCAAAAAAAATCTTTGAAAATTTTTCTGTTCCTTTCTTCCCAGATTCCCCACACCACAGCATGAATTACTGCTTTCCAAAAGAGCTTTCCTCTTTTTCTCAGCTTTGGGTTGACCCATTGAGCAACAAAGTCAATGACTGAACTCGGAGAAGGCTGATGGGATCCTATGTAGAACAAATTAGAGTGAAGCTTTTTGTATTGTCTGCAAAGAAAATGATGGTGAGAGTGATGATCCTATATGTAGCATGTTGTTGTATAGGAGCTATTTTACACACTATACTTGTCTGAATATAATACATTTACTTTTTCAAAAAAAAAAAGTATACTTGAATTGTTCATTAAACATGTTGTAGTTTTTAATAGATGGTGGCATTTACATTTACTTTAAAAATACATGTTGTATTTTTGTCTTTCTTATCATTGACAAAATATGAAGTTTTATGTCAACAATAGAGCTAAGAGGAGGAAAGGTATACAGGATATATGTGTTTCCATGCCTGCCTTAATGCTTCCAGCATATCCATGTTTGTCCCTGCATATCTACAATATATCTAAAATCCTTGAATCATCGGAATGATCTATTATAAATTGCACAAGAAAGATTTCTTTATTGAATTTAATGAATTCATTCTGTTGCTTACATTGATTTCTGTTTGTACAGAAATAATAGCAGGGATGATTTTAGAGGAACTGTTGCAGCATATTATGAATTTTTAAGGACTGCAAGTGAGTGGTTATCACGCAGAGCCACCGATGTATATGCCAATTCTTTCTTCAAAATCAATTTGATTTTCTTTTATTTATGAAAATATAAATGGTTGATGTTTATGCACATAGATGGATGAAATGAAATACTAATAGTTTCTCTTTCTTTGTATTGCAGAAGCCTCTTGACTTGCTTGCTTTCGGAGTTATAACTATGTTTGTATCATGTTTGATACTGTTCTGGTTATGCAAAGAAGTTTACAATAAACAAAAGCAATGCTTTCCAAACTTATACAGAAGTAACTATACAATGCATTCGGATGAGAGTTTTGTTTCGATAGCAATCTTGATCTATATTTTCAGTATGGGGTCAAGTTCTATAGTAGAAGAAGAGCAATACATATGGCATTTTATGACATCAACTTTGTATTTGATATTCTTCCGGAGGAGTATCCAATCCCTTCCAGCAGGACAAACACCAAATTTACTTAATGTATCCAATGGCCAAAAATGCAGCAATTATTCCCACACATGCTCCATAATTTTTGTTCTCATCTGTGGAAGGGTCTTGAGAGGGTGGCATCAAGGTGGTGTGAATTGGACGCATCTTCCTGACATTTCAAAGTGGCTTGAGCAGGCAGGCCTTCATAGCATAATATACATCCAGATTGCTTCAGTGGTGCTTGTTATCAGCTTGGGGTCATGGGCTCTTTACTTGTTAAGACCAAAAAGTGCTTTTGTTCCGGTGGTTCACATCAGTTTTGTTATATCTGGAATATTAGTACTGCTTCACAACATAGAACATCAGGAGCATACATTGATAACATCCAACTATAGCACAACTTCTATAGCTCAGATAATTTATGCAACTATTAGTATGTCAGTGATAACAATCGTCATTGCCTCACCATGGTTAATGCCTATTTCACTCTATAAGACTCGCTCAACTAGCAGGTTCCATTTGATGAGTTCTCATTCAATTGACATTCATAAAAGGACTCCTGAGTTGGGGTTAAGAGGTGCTGCATATTTGATAGGATGGACATATATTGTGTTTTGGTGTCTTATTCAACTGCTATTGCAAAAGCCAATAAATGCGGTGCCAATAATATTAGTTCTCTTGCAAATCCTGGCCAGTATGTATTACTTTTCAATGCCTGAGCTTCACCATAAACAGTGGGTTGAGGTCAGTTATGGAAAATCCTTACTCTTTGTTACCGCAATGGAGTAATCATTGATCAGAGTTTATTCATTACTTGGTTTAATAAGGAACTTTGGATAGCAAACAAGTGGTCTTATTACCAAGTCTGCAAAGGTTTCTTTTATCAAAGTCACCAAAAATAATGTATCCTTTGGCTTGGTTAGATTGGCTGTGGAAAGAATTCAGGGATTAAAAAATATATTTAAGTTAGCAAACCTGAAGGTGCCAGCTAGCTTACTGGTTGTAGTGGAGACTTGGTATCGAATCCCATCTTCATTGGAGTTTGGGAGAGGGCTACCCTGTGTTGTGTGGCTCATTTGCCTACTAAGAAAAGGTGTGCTACCTCAATAAGAGCATACTTCTATTTTAATAATTGGATATTGATGTGTTTCCAGCTACTACTCTAAATCAAGAATTTATGGAGACAGGGAAAGGCCTTGATACATTGTGAAGACGTTTGTATGTAAAAATGTGATTTCTCAATTGTCTGAGTAGCCTTTTTTTTGTGAAAATTTATGTTTGTTATAATTTTATATCCTTGCATGCTTTGATGGTTTTACTTGGACAATCACTGAATAGCTAACATTTAGTGCCTGTTTGGATATTCTGTGGATCTGCCATCATGGTACTTCCATTCATGATAACTAGGGGTGTTCATGGGTCGGGTTGGGTTGGTTTATTGGGGTTTTCCCAACCGACCCGACCTGGTCGGGTTACCTGAGGTGGAAACCGAAACCGACCTGGTCGGTTTGAGTCAGGTTGGGTCAGTTTGGGTCGGTTTCGGTTTTGCTCCTGTACAAAAGGACACCTAATTGAATTCTAATTGTAATTGCCTAATGGGTTGCCTATTTGGTGTAAAAGATTATAGAAAGTTAGAAACTAGGATAGATTGCCTATTCTAATTGTAATTGCCTAATGGGCCTTCTAGTTCTAGTAGAAGAATAGTTATAGTTAAGTAGGAAACTACTCAAACTAGGAACTACTGAAACCGACCCGATATATCGGTTTATATATTTGCCCAACCCGAAACCGACCGGTACTGATGAAAACCCGGCCGACTCGGGTTGGGTCGGTCCGGGTTGGTTGGTTTGGTCGGGTTGGGCATTCTTATGAACAGCCCTAATGATAACTGCAACCTGTTTTTGCACACATGCATACTCCTTACTTGTGTGCCATCTGTCTAGGGAATTGTATCCAAAGCCAAGTACTTTTTATTGAAGAACTTAAAAAGTGGTGACTTCTTAAGGAATTTCAATTTAGGCTGCTTTTTCCCATGAGAAAGCATTAACATATTATTAACGTGTTACTATATATGACTGATATCCAATGTAACCATGTATGGCAGTGTCCCTATTGTATTATGTGTTTGTCCATAGAAAACCACTATATTGGGTGCGAAGTTAACAGGGAATTGGGGTGTTTGCTATGTTGCATGTTGTGTATTACAATTATAGCCTGCAGGTGCTGCAGCTTATGGTTGTATTTTTTGTACTTGATAGGTTGCTGCCTTCTACTTTTTAGGGATGGCTGGCCATTTTGGGCTTGGAAACAGCAATACTCTAGCTACTATTGATGTTGCTGGAGCCTTCATTGTAATTACTCTTTCCACACACCTTATTTTCTATACTGCATTCAAATTTTAGAAGCTATAGCATTTTAAGTTATCCTAACATCGTTTCACTGGTTGCTAGGGTGTCTCCAGTCACTCTACATTACTTGCAGGTATCATAATGTTTGTTATTACCTATGCATCACCACTGTTGATTTTTCTTAGCATGGTGATGCTTATATCCATGAAGGACACGAGTTATATATTAGATTCACAGAATGCGGAAATGGGGCATCTTCTCCAAATGATGATTGGTTTTCCTTGTCTTGTTCCATTGTGCTTGAATTCAATTATGCTGACTACGTTCACCATCATTTTGTTGCTAATGAGAAACCATTTGTTTGTGTGGAGTGTATTTTCACCAAAGTAAGTATAATGGTTTTACACCACTGTACATATTGTGGCTTATGAGCAGTTCTGTGTGTCGTATTCTGTGAGCTGGCATGTGGCATCCACCTTGTTCTTTGCAAGTGTCCATGGGTAGATGATATAAACTAGAAACTAATACTAATAGCATATGATCTGACAAATAGTTATTATCTAAATTGATTATTGTTCCAGGAGAACAAGGAAAAAATGATCAAATTGTAGTGGTTTTTTTTTGATAAATAAATTGTAGTGGTTTTTACATAAATTGATTATGTGGATGTATTAAACATGGATAAGTTTTCCCTAAGACTAATGTCATGCTTCTCCATACAGGTACCTGTATGTCTGTGCTACGACTGTAAGTGTCTACGTTGGGGTCTCCGTAGTTGCTGTAACTGCAGTTTATTTGTGTAATGTGTTTGTTTTCCGGGAAAGGATGTTCAATCCCAAGGGAAACAATAGACAGACAAACCAATGGTGACAATATATCAAAACTGTCATGCAAACAAAGGTTTCCGAATCACTGCGTCCAAACACTCTTTACATTTTGACAACTATTAAATGTTTTTTAACATTCAACTTCTTTTCTTTGTTAAGCTTTCATTTTTGTTCTTAACTGTATTTTTTGGCCAATAAATATGCAGAATGAATGCTTGTTTCGTAAGAAGGTGCCATATCTGGCTCTCTGGTGAAGCGTACAAAGTTTTCCATAAGGAGCTCTAACACCGTTCCGCCTATTGCAGCAAGACAGGAGTAGAAAAACTGGAGAAGGTGTTAGCTATCGAGTTGGGACTCAATCCCGCCTTCATTCACCAGAGGTTTGGGGGAGCGCTGCCCATCTTTTCACAAAGTAAAAGGGGAGTAGAGAAACTGGTTAATATTTTGATAAGTGAGAATATAGTCATTCGCATTGTAGATAGATGGTATGTTGTTAAAAGGAAAACATAGATCAATTTCCCATGTACTTCAACTAGGAGATTTTTGAACTTTTCTTCTTGATAACTTCGAAAATTATGTAATAGTGTGATTTATGATGCCCTCAACATGTTAAAGAGAGTCGTCTTTGCTTTCAATGAGAAAGTGAAACACAGTTTTTTTTTTTTTTCAGACAAAATTGTTTTGTTTCTAGCGTCATCATATTTACCTCCATCACCACCACCATAAAACAAAGGTTTTAGAATATTGATCTCGTGTTTCTGGGATTCCAATATGGGTCTGTATTTCCTCATGCTAAAAAATATTTGCTTTCAAGGGTTAATGGTGTTTGAATGCTTTCTGTTAGGCTATGTTTGGTTTGAAGGAAAACGTAGGGAAAGGAAGGAAAAGGTAGAGAGACCTATACAAGTTTTGTAAAGGTTTTCCTACCTTTTCCTTCCTTTCCCTACTTTTTCCTTCAAACCAAACATAGCCTTAAGGGACGACGCAAACTAGTGATTCTGTGATTGAGATGGCTTCTAACAGAGAATAGTAGAATTATGTATAATAGATGGTCAATTCGTCTATTATATTTGATTGGTTAAATTAAATAAAGGCGCTCAATACTTGAAAATTGAATCTAAATTCAATGGAAGTATGGATTATGGAAACGTAATTTGTCTACTATGAAATGTAACGAAAAAATTGCATTTAGTTGTTCCGCTAGACCTCTCAAGGCAAATATGCAGGCAGTAAATCAGGTTTCGGCTAAACACCTAAGGGCTGTAGCCTGGGCCTAGGCCAGCCTGGTTCGGGCTAGAAATGATCACCTCTATTTTTCAGTCTGGATCTGCTCCTCGCGGAGCGCTCCTAACAGCAACTTCACAATGTAACATCCTTCATTCTTTATATTGTTATTCATAGGGAGATGTTTTCGATACACAGTGGAATAGAACTGTGAGGTTGGTGTATACTCTATGAGGAGCAAATTCCAATTCCACTAAAATTTATTTTATTCTTTAGAAATTTGATTTAATCTTCACAAAACTGAGATCAACTTTTATCAGGGCAAATCTATGCTCACACGTTCTAACAATCTTTTACAATATTATATTGAGAATATCTCCCCATGAAATAAAGCATATTCTCAATGTAAGACAGTAAAATCTGTTTGAATGGGCTTTGCCCTGACTGAAGCCGAACTCCACAAAATCATACTCACACTGGCCTCACAGCCACTTGCACCTGTGCATCGGAGATATTGCAAAATGTTTATGATGGATGGCGCTCATTATTTAATGGGGTTTCATAGGACAGATTAACTAATCACTATTCCAAAATCATTATTTTTGTTTAGTCGCTTTCCCTGCTGGCTGCTGTTATCAGCCAATGGTGGTGGGTTTGAATTTTGATTTTCTATTTGTGGGCCTGTGGCTAGTTTTATTGAGGACGGAGGGCCCCACACCAAAAACAACGGTTCCAGGCCCAACATCAACCTTTTCGGCTGTGCCTAATGTGCTGGACACGTGGCCACTTGGAGATCAGCCATGTCAGTTTTCTCCGACCAAAATTCTGCCGCAAAATGGAATTTATCTTATTGCCACATAGAGGCCCCATCACCTGTTTTGGGCCAACATCGGATGATCATGTTCCCGTTCTTATTATTAAAGAAATATTTATCAGAAGCTTCACATGTTCTACCAACTCATCCCCTCCTTCATTTGCCAAGTTCCACGCGAACCCACTTTATCCACGTGGCAAAAAGAAAAGGCCTTCGAGATTCTGGATTTTCCTTGTCATCCCTCCACGTCAGAAAGAAAAGCGCGGACCACATCCATTCTTCGTCGTCTAATAAGCACAAACAAAAAGATGCCATCTCGGCTGTGTTATGTTAGAATATCTGATACGAAATTACGAAAATGCCCACAATTATCTGGGCTGGGGCCCACCGGGAGAAGAAGAACAAGAATCACTTTCCTCTTTTTTGCAGAATACTTCGCTCACGCTTCTCCTCTCTCCTCTCGAATGCATAGCGTAATGCCACAGAGGTGGAGGGTGTGAAGAGGAAATGGACGGAAAAGGCAACAGAGCGGAGGCACAGCGATGTCTAGGAATTGCAGAGAAGCTGCTAACGGCGCGGGATCTTATCGGGAGCAGGAGATTCGCCACCCAAGCACAGGAATCAGACCCATTTCTGGACGGCATAGACCAGATCCTCGCCGTCGCCGACGTTCTTCTCGCTGCCGAGAAGCGGATCAACAACCACCTTGATTGGTACGCTATCCTGCAACTCGATGGTCAATCTAACGATCTAGAACTCATTAAGAGAAAATATAGAAGGCTCGCCTTGCTCTTGCATCCCGACAAGAACAAGTCCTTCTTCGCCGATAAGGCGTTCAAGCTCATAGCCGATGCTTGGGCCGTGTTATCTAATCCTTCTAAGAAGTCTCTGTACGATAAGGAACTCAATCTGTTCTCAATTGCTTCGATGAATGAGCTGCCTCGAGAGCGGCAAATGCAAGAAAACCAACGAAAACAACGGGAACATTGTTTCCATCCGAAAAGACAACATCCACCAGAAAAAGGGGAACACTCGGCAGGACGATACCCTAGAAGTAAGATGAAGCAGACACCGTCGCCATTGTTGACGACTTTCTGGACTGCGTGTCCTTACTGTTATAATCTCTATGAGTATCCTAGGGTTTATGAGGAATGTTCTCTTAGGTGTCAGAATTGTCAAAGGACGTTTCATGCAGTCATGGTTCTTTCGCCTCCTCCGGCAGTTCCCGGGAAGGAGGTCTATTACTGTTGTTGGGGTTTCTTCCCTTTAGGATACTCGTTGCCCAACGTGGACTCTAGCAAAAATGCATGCTTTCCTAATTGGATGCCCTTCTCTCCAATGGTCGCATCCCCCACTAAACCACCAGAGGGGAAACGGAACACGACAACATCCAAGACTGGTTTAGGTGTGTCGGATGATTGTGATTCGTCTGCAGACACAGACACCAGGAGTAAAAAGGAGAGAACCTTTGATGTCAAGGAGAAAGTTTCGCCCAACAAGAAATCTGAGAGATTGCAGAAGGAGAAAGAGAAGGGAGAAAATATCTTATTTGGGTCAGGGAGAAAGGATCGTCAGGGCTCTGAAGATGGAAACGTAACTAGAGGAAATCAGCAGCAGGAGGTGCCCAAACCTCCCTCACCTCAGAAGAAGAGGAAGAAGATAGTTGCGAAGAAAACCAAAAAACACATGAGCAAAAGGACAGTAAGTAAGAATGTAGAAACAACAGCTTCCCCCGAAACAATGACACTGGATTTGAATACAGAGTTCAGGGAGGAGGTGGGGAAGTCTACACCTGCAACGGGTGTAAGCACAGATACAGGAAGCAAAGATGATGATGTAGGGATTGGGTTTTTTGAGGGATTAGATGATTTTCTCGGTACTCTGCCAATATTTTCTGTCGTAGAGGATGACAAGGTTGACGGTACAGGAAAGTAGAATAGAATCCCTGTTGTTATAGGTCTATCATTTTGGACAGAGAAAAACGAACAACCAGAAGATGCAGCTGAGGGGATTGGTTTTCTGGGGGAAACTTGTGATGGGCTTCTTTTGTAGGGGATGGACAAATGAAGGTAGAACACTTGATCATTCTGCACAGTGTAAAAATGAGCAACCAGAATTTTACTTAAATTGGTTGCCTTACAGGCTGCAAAATGTAAGTTTTGATTTGCATCAGTGTGATTCCTTCAGCTTCTGGCCCTCTTGAATGACTTGTTTGCTTCTGTTTAATTCTTCTTATTTGAATGCTTGAACCACTGATTTTTAAGTTCAGATCAGTTCAAAATACATTCACCCAATGTTTTCTCTTTTTGAAGGAAATCCAGGTATATCCTATCAAGCTCATAAAATCAGCTTAACTAGGGAACCTATTAGCTCATTCAAATTGGAGATTTTGGATTATCTGTTAGTAACTTGTTACTAAAACCAAACTTTGCCTCCCAAACTGTTGGCAAGAACTAGACTGCTCTGAAAATGCCTTGGACTACTTCAGTTACACATAAGTTATATGGTCACCTATTTTCGTTTATTATTCATCCTGCATACTTCTCAGTGTTAATCTAAATTACTGAAGAAGCTTTCTCTTATGTTTCTTCTTGGTTTGTGCAATCCGAAGAGGATCGATATTCTTCCTCCAGTTTTCTAGCCATATAAACTTTGGATGGAACATCGAAGCTTTTTAAATGTTAACCTTTTTGGCCATGTGGTTCAGGAGAATATTTACATCTTAAAGGCAATTTTTTTTTGCCTCTTTATTCCCATGCATCTTTTTTATTGCGAATTTATCAGATAGTGCGACCGCAGAGCATGCTAAAAGGCACTTACAGATTCTCAGAAGTCAACTTCAAAATTAGTTCTATGATACATCCTAGATGAGGCTAAAATTAGGATTTTGAACTACAAACGGCTTAAGATGTGGCCGATGGCGGCAAAAACACCTAGGATCCTTCCATTTGGTAGGAGTGCAAACGCGGTGAATTAAATTTGTACTCCGGTTCAGTTTTGCACACATTTAGGTAAGAATACAATTGCATACTGAAAATAGTAACAATTATGAGTTCCAAGACATGTTTTCATTCAAAATGGGAGCAAAGTTTGGATCTTTATGGATGTAAACTTTGCACTCAAAGCTAGTCAAAGTAAAAAAGGTTCCAGCCTTGTAATTCATGCTTGAATCCATCGCAATCAAAACCATTTGGTAAGAATACAAAGTTAAACCAATTTTGCACTTTCATGAAACTATACATAATTATATTTGCATTCTTCAACTTTTGACTTCTCCTCAATTTATATCTCTATTAGAATGAGGAAGGGAGTGGGTGAGGGGTCCATCCACCACAGTTCTCATACATACTTTCTACTCTCAATTTTCACACCCGTGGTTATTTATTTTAAATTAAATTATAAAATGTAATAAGTTACAATAAAACCCTTTTAGCTTTTAATTTTCTTTAATACAATCCATTGCTCTAATAAAATCATGGTTTTCAAAATCGGACCAGATCGGACGGTTGGACCAGAAAACTGGGAACCAATTAGGTGACCGGTTTTGTTTTGTCAAAAAACCGGATTTTTCCCCAAAACTGTTGATTTTGGTCATGAATCGCTGAATTGGGCGATTAATCGTTCGAATGGTTTTGATCATTTCTTTTTTTTTTTTGAATTTTTTTTATTTTTTTGTCAGAATAGGCCGAGCGTTCAGTTCAAACGGCCAAACTGTTCGACCCAGTAACTGGACCCCTAACTGGTTCGATCATCGGGTCGGTTTTAAAAACCATGAATAAAATCAATCTTACCCCCCACCCAAATAATATCTCTCCTTACCCTTTAAATCCCTTCTTTCCTTTTAAATCTGTCCAGCCCTTTTTGACTCTCTTAATAATGCATGGGTATAAATTAATTAGATGGATTTGGGTGAGGTTAACAGCCAACCCAAGCTTAAATATGGAACATAGTATGGATCCAAATTGATGTCAAAACCCAAAAACCCAAATTTTAAGTGTTGGAAATGGAAAGACTATTGAAAAGGCAATTTTAAGCGGCATATAAGGACATTCTTTGAATATGGTAGAATAATTCAAATAAATAAAAAAAAATACAACAATAAAACTAAATATAAGCTTTACATGATTATATGTACAAATGAAAAATCATGACATACAAAAATCTTACATCAATTTAGAAGCATGGATTGGACAAAATATCCTTATCTAAATCAAGGTCTTAAGGGTACTTTCGTTGTCTTGGTATTTCTATCCAAATGTTTTTAGTACAGCATTTCATTACAAAATGTTGGTACTTGCTAGTATACATTCGCATCATTGATGAAGATTTTTTTTATATATTTTCTGAAGGGCTACACGATGCCCGGGGGGAGCCCATCCCTCAAGCCCCCAACCCAGGTGCTATATCTATTGCTCTATACAACAAAATATATGATTGATTGAATGTGATGACAAATAAATATGAAAGTAACTGGTAAATAAACTTTAATATAATTGCTTGAAATATAAAATTTAATATAAAATCAATATTAATGAATGTACCATCGTTGAATCTCTAGAAGGCAATTATTGAAAAAAATTATTCAAATTGGATAAGGCCAATGATGTTAGACATTTACATGTTACAAATAGTATCTTCTATTCCCATCATTTTCACTTATTACTTTATTATAATAGTTTTGCTAACAGAGTAAAGACTTAAACGTCCCTTCACTTTTCACGTAAAGACTGAAACCTCCCCTGTTTTTACAAAGTGGATTAAGATCTCCCTTTTGGATGATATCATCAGAGAAAGACCTCCCCTCTTTAGTACTCCATTAAAATCCATATACACGTGACATTATGTATGGGTGAAGCTTTTTTAAAAACCCATTTTTACCCCTTTCATCGTAACAGCAGCTATGAGGCTATGAGCTGAGAAGCTCTAACCCTTCATTTTGTCGTCCTCACCCATCACATAGTCAAAGAAGTGGATGTCTACCATGTCGTTGGCTAAGCCACGACGAATCTTTCACAGCAGCATTAATGCTCTTGATGACAGTCTAATTATCATAGAGCAAGTAAAGACGAGCCTCCTTTCAAGTCCATCATATTCTGTAACACAATTTTAATGGCAAAGGCCTCCCAGATTCCACATCACCCAACAACACCCCTTCACCCCTGCTTTAATGAACGCATGATTAGAACCCAACACCAGCCAAACAATTGTGCAGACATATCCAATAAAGGCAGCATCACAGAAGATATAAAGACTGCCTAAAATGCCATAGACAATCTTAAGAACTGATTGATACTGAGGACGATATAGAGGACATTGTGGAGATCTCTCGTTGGGCTGATAATTCACCCCAAAGAAAAGTTGCAGATCTTGTAATCTCATCAAGAGAAACTTCCACACCTTCAAAAATCAAGCTTTATTAATATTGCTGACAGTAGTGTTGTTGGTGGTAAGGGTATGTTAGACTTTTTACGTTCTCCATTGGACATAACAGTTGCAGGAGAGGTCTTAGGCTCCCTTTGGTTCGTGGGAATAGAGGTTTGGAATAGGAATTAAAATGAGTTATTCTGATTCTAACTGTTTGGTTGGACAGAATTAGTATCTCATTCTTCCTGCTAGAATGGTATTGTCCCATTTGAGAGAATGGCCATTCCTTACCCCTCCCTCGGGAATGAAATCTCATTCCTGCTAATTCCAACTCACATTCCCATATGAACCAAAAAGAATATGGGAATAGACCATTTTGATTCCGATTTCCATTCTGATTAGAACTAAATGGACCCTTAGTTTGTTTTGAAAAGACAAGGAAGGTATTAGTATTTAGGAGAAACATCAAAAGAGGTTTAAAAGTGTATTTTATTGAACATGTGGCAAATCTCATAATACTGTTAAAGTTCAAGGTTAAGGCAATTAAATTTAAGTGTAAATTACAGACAACACTATTGTGTTATTTTATGAAAACATTTTGCCCTTTTTGATTTTTTTTCCTGAAATCCCAATTCTTGCATGTTTTCCTCAACGTTCAAAGAAAATTATATTAAAAATCAACACTCAAGTCCAAATCTGGCAATCAAAATTATGGTGAGTGATAAAATTACCAAATTGCTCATTCATTTTTGAATAGCCGAGATAATATATATATATCTTATCCATTTATAAGAAAGAGAAATGGATGAGCATCCATCGTCCAACACCCTGATTTATATTTCCAATTCTATCTCCTCCCTGATTTAATATTTCCAATCCTATCCCCTCTTAATAAGCTGATTTTATATTTCCAATCCTACCCTCCCTGATTTCAAAACACCTTGATTTTACTTTCCAACTTTACCCTCAACTTTCTATTTTTTCCATTATATATATTGTCAATACAAAATAATTATGAAAAATATAAAATGAAGAAAACAATATAATTACAAAAAACAAAGAAATACATTGAAAATTTACAAAAGAAAATGTAGAAAATCATAGAAACTTATATATCATACTAAAAAAATGAGAATGGTGCAATTGGTTTGGTCAAAACAATTTAATTTTACTTTCCAACTTTATCCTTAACTTTATATTTTTTCCATTATATATATATATATATATATGTGTGTGTGTGTGTGTGTGTGTGTGTGTGTGTGTTATTGCAAAATAATTATGAAAAAGCACATAAAATGAAAAAATTAATATAAAATATAAAAAACAAAGAAATACATAGAAAATGTACAAAATAATGGAAAATTATAAAAATTGAAGAAAATAACATAAATTTACAAATCTATACTTGATATATAACATAGTCAAACATCACCATCAATATCAAATATCCCATGCATCGCACACGCCATTCCACTAGTATATATATATATATATACAGTTGATTGGTTTCGTCAACTGTTGGTTTTCAATATTAGTTGACCAAAATCGAATTGGTATCTTCAGTTTTTTAAAAATATACAGAACCAACTAGTTTGACGCCCTGTATTTGCACAAAAATTCCTGACTAGACCTCGGAACTGCCATAATCCCAATTGATGGTGCACGATCTGACTACTCCTAGATGGAAGGCGATTTGAACTCCAATTGGGCGGCGAGCTGGATCAATCTACAAAATAGTGGATCAGAGAACCCGGGATTGCTAACCCGATGAGGTCACTCCGATGCTTAAGTCAGTATTTATGCTGTGAATGCGAATTAAATGCTTGAGAGCTTGAGTGCTAGTGAGTAGTATAATCACGTGTACCTTTGCCTTGAGGTTTCATGTCTTTATATATTGGAGTAGTCATGGGCCTTATAAAAGATCTCCGGGATCTCGATCAGATCGCGCCCACATATCCCCTTCTTGATAGGTCGTGCCAAATCACCCTTCATCACCAATAACAGTGAGGCTCAACAACTAGAAATCTTTCCATGTTTTGTGAAAAACTGAAAAGAGCTTTGTTTCAAAGACACAAAACAGTCACTCTGTGCGAATACAGTCATTTGCGCAGGAATTCTTCAAGTGACCTGTGTCCCCAGATGATTAACCGTAGAACTCTGAACTCTACATCGTTTTAAACTCTAATAAACCCACTTAACAGCAAGTGAGAAGCAACATTGTCCAGCCGATTAATTAGATGCGTTTGAGAACTGTTGCCCAAATTACTTTGCAAGGTGATGGGTTTGTCTGTATGTCTCTCTTTTTTATTCCAAAAAGCAGAAGATGGGAAAATTTGAAACAAAACAGAGATTTTCGCAGAATTTCTATATTTCAAACACATTCAAATGGTGGTTGTTGGCCTACCATAACCTATCATTTGCACCCAAAATTCAAATACTTTAACAGGATTTGCACTGGGAATCAAACTCGTCTGTATTGATTATCAGAACCACTGAACCAATACCGAATTCCCTTCGATTTAAACATTACCGCCCCAGAATCCTTCGCCGGAAGAGCAGCATAGTTACCCATCTCAGGTAGGAATTCAGAATGCCACTCGTGTATGCCCGTCGTAGAAAGCAGAACTGACCACCTTTTTCATGGTTGCCCACTTGCCCCAGATTCCTTTCAGTTTACTCGTAAGTGGAGTGTCTATCGCTTTTTTCCTTGCAGTTTTATTGTGAAAAAATGAGTGCTGATGATTTTTTTACTGGGTTTCTTCGATGACGTGAGAGAATTCATTTCTAATTGCTCTCCTCTTTCTCTAGTAGACCCAATCCAAATTCCAAAGCCTTACATGAACGTCCTACCAGGGAATTTACAAGAGATTTCTGTCGTTTCCAATGTCCAAATGACAACCATCAAACTTAAATTTCTTCTCAAAGTTAAGCAAAACAACTTCCAGAATTTGATAAATAAATTACAGGAAAAGGGTCTAAGATGACAAAGAAGAGGAAGACGAAGAAGAAGAGAATTTAAGGCATTCGCTCTGGCACCTCCGGAGGCAAATATCATTCCAATTAGGCACTTGATGTTGGTTGACGCAAACAGTGCGAGCACAGGCATCGGTGCAGGCATCGAGCGCCGATAAACCGCAGACGGTGACGCAAGTATCAGGAGTTGGGTCTTTGGAGAATGCGCCAACCTTCTTCAGCATCCTCTTCGACATGCATACTCTCTCACAGACGAAGATATCGTCGGAGCTCTTCTCCCGTCCCCTTGTACCATTCAACCTCTGCTCCTCTGATCGCCTCTTCTTCATTCTCAGAGCTTGGCCTGCGACGACAGCAGGAATCGCCGCCCCCAACAGAGTCACCCATAAATCCACCATTACAGCTGCTTTAGACCACAAGATTCTATCTTGCCCCCTTTCTTCTCTTCTCCTAGCAATATTAACACAAGAAAACGAATAACCAGAGCCCTTTGCATTACAAAATTTATAAACCCTAGATTCCACTCTCTTCATACGATTCAATGGAACCGATATGATAATGATAAATTCTCAAGTAAAAGAATAAAAATATCAGAAGTTCTCAAGTAAAAGAATAAAAATATCAGAAGTTCAAACATCTAGGGTTTATCCTTTACTGCATAGAAGAAAAAAATTGCTCCCAAGAAAAACAAACAAACTTGATAGTTGAAACTAAATAGAGATGGAAGAAAATTTCCAACCTGATTCAAGAGATTTCGCATAGCTTTGCTGTTCTTCTCTGTATGAATTAATGCTGTTTTTTTTTTTTTCTTTTATTTCAACCGTTCAAGAAGAGAGATCTCAAATGTGGTAGCGACCAGTTACTACTATTTCATAGGTTATTAACACGAGCCGTTCAGGAAATTATGATGGAGCACGCCACGCACCAACCTTGGTAAAAAATGTGAAACTTCGCAACCGTTGGATTCTGAATAAGATGGTGTTTGATACGCTTTCTGGATTTTGATCTTACGGCAACGGGAGAAGATATTCTAGTGATTCGTGTTTGTCGAAACACAACATCAGAAGGACATCGGTTGAACGACTTGCATCTGCTGATCTGCGCAAACAGAGCAGGAAGCCCGGAGACAGAAAAACACGAGGATGTGATGTCAGGGGCGCTTTTCCGCTTCAGGATTTCGAGAAAAGTAGAAGGAGCATTTAAACGGAATCCACCGTAATCGTTGATCCGTCAAATCAAACAGTGCTGTGCCGGTTTTAAAATTTGAAAACGTAAAGATTTGTGGTTCGGTGAAAAAACCAAGTTTATCGCCGGCCGCGCGAGCTGCTTTTAGTGGTTCGGTCGTGAGCTCCGGGCTACTCTCAGCGACTCAGTGGCTCTGTCGCGAGATACTTCTGTTACTTGTGGACTGGACACTCCATTTATTTGGGTAGCTCTGTTCTTCTCTCGCTGTTACAGTTGGTGATTCAAGCATTTGCATGTTAGTGTAAGATGGTTAGAGGTTGATATATTAGTTGGTTTATGGTTTAAAGTTATTAGCTAACATTAGAGGATACCATTTGATATTGGAATCTGTTTGTTAAGTTTTCACGAGGCATTTCTTATCTATTCGATATATGAGTTGGGTTTTGCTTCAAATGCTTGTTCTGGGTCTCGACTTCTGTTGAGAGAAGTTTAAGCCTTTAAGGTTCAGATCGACGCTGTTATCTTCTTCCCTAGCTAATAGGTTCTCCTGCTTAACACTTCTTTGCATTTGACTTGGTGGCATACCCTTGGTCATTACTGCACAAGCCAGAGCTGTTTCGTGATTAGGTAGAAGGTATAGACAAATGCACAACTGACAAATATGTAGATTGATATTACGCTTCTCTGCTCTTTTTAGGGTACTCTTCCTGAGGAAGAAATTTGTTTATTTTTCTCTCCCTTTTTTTTATGAAAATACAGGCTAGAATGGAAAACTTTGTCCCAAGAAAGAGAAAACCTATGTCATATGATTTTTTTAATGTATAAGATGCGAAAAATTGAGACCCATCAGTCTCCAACACCAATGGATTGGTTCAGTTAAGAAGATGTAGAACAATCTCAATTTTAAGTTGCTTACAATCTGAAGGTTTAATTTCTAGGAGTTGAAATGGGGTCATAGGGTGAAAATTATTTTAACAGTTGAGTTGTTGAAAATTAAGTTGGTTGATTAGGGTCACATTTTTAAGATTTCGTGAATAGATTGCCACCATATTTGTAATGTTTCTGGTTTCAAATTTTAATGTTCTTATATATTTCTGGTTTTTACCCTTTCAGTTAGATAAATATAATTTATTTTCTTTGTAAACAGCAATGGAATCACTTTAATATAATTGAAATCATGTACTGGAGAAGATGTACAAGGATGTGGATATAACAGTTATGTGACTGAGATAGGATTTAAAGAAAGATCCAATTGCAGACAACTTATTATTTTGTTATTTTGTTCAATGTGGTTTCTAACTTCTGCATGCATACAGAACACTGGTCGGTCACAAATTAGTAATTGTTGAGGATGGTTTTTGTGGCACTGATTTAACAAGGATGCTGATTCAAAGAACTTAGTGATACTCTTCAAGAAAAGTATTTCTCTTTTGTTTTGTTTTTTTTTTTTATTTTTATTTGGGTTCAACTATGATTTTCCTTGATATTCCGGTTCCCACAGGAAATCCTTCATTATCTTCTCTAATTGATTGGTAACCTTAACAAGAATCTTGAAGGTAGATTTGTAACCCTTTTTGTGAATCTTTCAAAACTGGATACTAGAAACTTTCAGAGTTTGGGTCCCCACCCCCCATGACCACCACCCACCCACCCACACACACAAAGGTAAACCCAAATATGTAAGGTCTTCCACCTCTTGCTCACAACCTATTTACTCCCACTCACAACTGGAGATTGGAAGGGAATAGAGAAAGCTGCAGGGGATTTATTAAAGGTGTAAGATATGAAGAGGAGAATGGGCATAGGGTGAGTTCTGGGAAGGATTAATGGTGTGGAGAAAGACCATTGCAGGATTTTTTTTTTTTTTTTTTTTTTTGAGAAAACTGTAACCTTAATTGCAAGAGGGGAAAGGATGTACATGAGGAGATGTACAGCAATAGCAAACAAAACCTTATGCAGGAAATTTTCCATCTTTTTATGAGCTGGCAGAGTGGCAGCAAGCAGAGAGGCTTGGGTGGCTGATTACTTATCAGAAAATAATGGAGCAAGGGTTGACTCCCCACAGTTTAGGAGGCAGCTTAATGATTGGGAAGTAGAACCTCTGATGGACTTAATGTAAATGCTACATGGCACCCAAGAAGACATCAACAAGGAGGGCAAGAGAGTTTGGATTTGGGAGCGTTCGGGTCAATTTTTTGTTAATCTTTCTACAACCAGGTGATACAGCAAGAGGGTAGCAAAATCCCCACAAATGTGCTTTGGAGCAAATTGTTCCCTTGAATGTAGCTATCTTTGTTTGGGAGCATATTTCAATAAGATATTAAGAAGGGACAGTCTGATGGTGAGAGGGATGGTAGTGGATAAGGATGAATATGGAGTTGGATGATCATATTTTACTACATTGCAATTTCTTTTACTCAATATGGTTTAGGGTTTTGAAGATATTTGCTCTCAAAGGACGTTTCCCTACATCAATTTAGGGCTTCTTGAAGGGTGGGGGATGTAGATGAGGAAAAGTCATCTGGAATGCGGTACCTGCAACAGTCTTTTGGACAATTTGGCAAGAAAGAAACAATAGAGTTATCCAAATGAAGAGTATACTCAAAGTTAGTTGGGAAGTTGAATTCATTGATTAATATACACAAACTCCTCAAAGGAAGAGATTACAAATATTTTTTTATGTGTATGGAAGTATTTGTATTAATAGCCAGGGGTGAGGGTATAGGGATCAAGGATGCATCTTTTGTAAATTTCCTTTGTACAACCTGAAAGCCTTTTCTTTCTGCATATTAATGAAATTTATAGTGTACCTTGTCACCAAAAAATAAATAAGGGTCCGTTTGGTTCGTGACCAGGATCAGAATCGGAATCAGTATCTCTAGGAATTGAAACCGGAATCACCAATTCCTGGTGCCTGTTTGGCTCAATCAGGAATCGGAATCAGATTCCGACCATTGCTGTTTGGTTCAACTAGAAGTTGGAATGGGAATCGGCTTAAATTTCCAACTTTGATCCTGTTAAAAGAACTTCAATGGTATTGGTGAAGAAACTGAGTAATCCAGAAGAAGAAGAAGAATTAACATTTGACACGACAATGTTTAACAATCTTGCTGTTTAATGACATGATTGGAATGCTTTGTTAACATTGCAAAAAAAAAAAAAAGATAAATTAAATTTATGTATAAGGCAAGATAACTGAAGAAGAGGCATGTTTAGAAAATTATCTGTTTATAGGCATGCTTGGATTTACATTAAAATACAACAAAGAAATAAAATAATATTATTGGATGACCTGTAGAGTGTATGAAGCCAATCTGAGACTCATTTACTGCATTTAGATTTGATATGTGGAGATAAAAAGGACTCCAAGAGCTAAGCAAAATAGAAACCAAGAGGCTAATAAAAAATTGTAGATAGCAGAAATATCTAGGTTGCTGATAGTGGCGAGATTCAGAGACGGATTGGGGATAGACTCCATAGACATGTCGTTGAGATCGACGACCTGAAACTTCTCTTCCTTAATGAATTTCTTTGCTCCGTCGACTTCCTTAACTCCATTCTCACATAGTGTTCGTACATCATGCTTCTACTCTCTGGTTTCTGATATTTACAGAAATCCAGAAATTGAAGAGATGGGATTGGCAGCGGCAACGGTGGTGGCTGATTTGGAAGAAGAAGGAGGAGGAGGAGGAGGAGAGGACGAAGGATGGTCGACGACGGTCTTAACTCATCAGAGATGGGGTTGGTTGACGGTTGTCTTACTTCATCAGAGATGGGGTCGACGGTGGCGGCGGCGGCGCTGTAGCGGGTAGTATGGAGGTTGAAGGAGTTGCTTACACAACCTTCAAACTTGAATGGAGTAAGGGTTGGAATCGAATAGGGTGTTTTCTGTCAAAAAATAAATAATTAAATAAATGGACTGGAATGGGAATCACATTCTTTGGGGTGGGGTCGGGAATGGTCATTCCCCCATTCCAGCAAGAATTGGAATGGAATTCCCATTCCACTCAACCAAACAGTAGGAATCAGAATGACCCATTCCGATTCCGATTCTAGGGTCCTATTCTCTCTAACCAAATGCACCCTAAATAAATAACTGTTTGCAATGTTTCTTGGTCAGTTTTTTTTTTTTTAAAAACTTTGTAATCTCTTTCTCTTAAACATACACATTAAATGAAATAGGACATTCAAGTGCTTTATTGAAATACTAAGCTAAATTTTAGCCTTTTGTAGTTTCCAAATCCGGAATCTATGGGATATTTGGTTTCTCCTCCAGTTTGCTCCATTAAGTGAGCAGATGCAAATGGAAATCAAATTAGGGCTTTACTAAGCTGGATTTGCTATTCCAAGCAATGAACTACTCTTCAACCACCCAAAACTAGGGTTTTGGGAGAGAAAACTAAACTGCTCCTACCAAAGGTTGCATAACTCTTTCCAACACAAATTGCCCTTAATAAAAATCAAAGAGCTTCCCTTTGATCCCCAAGCGCCAGCTTCAAAGTGTCTCTAGGACCTGTAACAAAGTTTCTCCAGTTAGCTAGAGTTTCTAGAAAAAATTTTCCAAGAACCTGCCTTGAGCTTCAACTAAGGTTGAAAGTCTCCGCAAAACATCTCCCAAAAACCCCCTAACTGGGCTACATAAACTATTAAGCTGCTAATTGATCAGCCGATCAGTTCTCCATACACACTGTGTATGGGCTAAGAAAGGAGAAAGATGTTGAAGGTGAGAACCTACTTTGATACCAAGTTGTGAAACACACCTGCAATAATTCAGAAAATATAGAAAAAAAAAAAGAAGAAAGAAAAGTTTCAAGAGAAGTTTGTGAAAGAAGAAGGAAGGAGAAGAGAAGGGAAGAGAGAAGAGAAGAGTTCAATCCTCTCTCTAGCTTCCCAAGATATCTTTTATTTTCTGAATTCTAAACGGAGTGCAATTCCCTGGATGCCCTTAATGGGGCAACCATCACTAAAGAATTAATAAAACTAAGAGGCTCATAACTAAGGCCCATAACTGAAAGAAAATAAGCATAAGACAAAACTTAAAAGAAACAAAGAAACTAGGGCCCATTTTTGCTAACAGTTCTAATGAGAGTTCAAGACCTTTGGTTTAGATTTGACAGACTTTATATTGAATTGTACCATCCACACAAATTCTTTTAACTTTTCTACAACTTCGTTCTTAGATTTTTCTGTTGTTAACTTGGCCAAATCATTAGAACTCCAATTGCCAAATTTGCCAAGATTTTTTTGATGTGGAATTTTAGAATCCCTTCCCAAATGCTGTCAAAGGAATTTGGGTAGAGCTTGTTGCAACAAGGAAAACATCCAGATTTACCAAAAAAAAAAAAAAAAGGAAAGCATCCGGCATGCTTCACCACATGAGCATTTCTTAAGACATTGGTAGGCTCACCTTGAGGGGCTGGAGTGGGATCTAGATCCTATCCCACCAAACCTTGCGGTCTCCATTCAGATATATGTCAACCAAGAAAAGGCAACCAACCCTGACAATGTATCAAAATTAAGGTGTAGATTAATTTCAATCCCCTTTAGCTTGGATAATTAATTCAGTTTTGATATTGCTCTTTTTTGTACAAGAGCAATATCTCTTTTCACCTTTTTTTGCTCTATGAACTAGAAAAAGTTGTTGCATGTATCTCTTTTAATTCCTTGTTTTTGTCTTTTCTTCACAATTGGTTAATGTCTGGTCTCTCTCTCATAACTTTTGTTATTGTTAACTTTCATCAAGTTATGTAATAGTAGTACAGTCAAGCTTTGTTGAAAATTCAGTCCTTTCTCATTTAATTGGGTATTTCAATAACAGTGACAAAGACTGACAATGGACGTTCTTTCATTTCTACATGGCTGCTATCAGGAGATTTGAAAAGCTGCACCAAACTATGAAAGGTAAAATTGAAGGTGTTGGAAATCATGCCAACAAAGATCTTGAAGAGAAATCCGGTGTTGATCAATTGCAAGGGGGGCGGCTCATGTTAGGGGATGTTGTGTTGGTTGAAATGCATCATGGTTTTTGGTGGCCTGCACAGGTATGAGATGTGTTTACTAATGGAAGATTTCTGATGTTGATTTGTCCCTGGACACCTTTATATGTATTTTCTTTCCTTTCTAGGTTTTTGACGAGAAAGCTGTGAGTGGAAGTTGTAAGAAGACCAACAATAAATTACCGGGTGAAGTTCTTGTTCGACTCTATGGAAGCTATGATTAGTCAGTGATCTTTGTCCTTTCTTTAATTTTTCTTGTTTTCATTGGCTTGCGTATTTGTATGGCTTTCTAAATTGTTTGCATTTTCTTCTATCTGAAAAAGCATGTACGTCGACTCTGTTAGATGCCGTTCTGAGTTTGAGAATGTGAGTGTTAATATATTATACCTTCTGTATGAAAGTTATTTTCATTGTTCTGCCTTTTTTTTGGAACTGACCATGCTGTTCTTGTTGATGCCATTCAGATTCTCAAGCAAAATAATGGAAGTTGCAGGGAAGCATTCCAGAAAGCACTTGAACATGTAGGTTTTTTGTTGCTTATTAGCAAGAAAGTCTCATGATTTGATTAGTGGTGTATCTCAGGCAATCTCATTAACATTATTTTAATTGGTTTTCCTATATGTTGGCTATGACAATAGGTTCTTTCTCCTGTCAAATCTTGTAAATCAGAGAAGCAAAATCATAAAGAGACTAAAGGTGGTAAGTCAATGTTTCGATCTCAGGCTCACTTCATATTTATCTTTTGAGTGGTAATGCAGGATGAAAACAATAAATTGGTACCTTCCAAAATGACTACCCCCTCCCAGAGATCCATGATCCACTTGAAGGAGTTGTGGGGAAAAAGACTGCTCCCAAGTGCTAACACTACTTGGCTCAACATTTTGATCCAACAGTTAAACACAGAAAGTGGCAAATTCGGGAATCTTTTTCTATTCTGCATTTCCATTTATGCTCCAATTCAAACACAGCCTAGGTGATTAGATGCTTATATTATTACCTTAAAATGCTGATATTTGCTTGGTCTCATGTCAATGTGATGACCATCACAAAATTTTAGTCCATTTCTTTTCATCTCTCTCTCTCTCTCACACACGCGCGCGCGCGTGCGCATCTGCGCGCAAGCCATTCAGCTAATATTTATAAACCATTTGTTGTATAATGATTACATATCCTGTACATGCCTCCCAGGACTCTAGATGGCAAGGATCAGCCTGGTTAATGGCCTTTTTTTGTACAATTGTCTCTGCATTTAAATTGGCAATCTCTTTATTTCTTGTATATATATTTTTTTGATTGATAACTTCTCAAAATTAAAAAATAAAAAATAAAGAATTATGTAATGTGGTACACTGTTTAGGATAAGCTAAGTACGCCATTTATCATTTTAGTTCAGACCTAGCTTCCTGACCTGACCCCAATGATTCCAGTTCTTTATTTGAAATACAATCAAGTCTCTAATTAATAGCCCCCCCCCTCTCAAATACAGACCGTCTCTAGTTATATTCTGTCTTTCCAATCTCTGGATCCATGTAAAGACTGTCCTCATCTCACAAACATCTCACTTCATTTAATTCCTCTTCTGCTAAGTTCCAAGGCTGCTATATTTGTAGCTAGTCAAACTACTCTTGAGTCCCTTTCCACTACAATATCTCTCTAATTGAGTTGTATTGTGTGATTTTGGTATGTGCATAGGAAGCTAGCCAGATTAAAAACCTCACATATTCATTTCCCTCCCACCGTAATATACTGATATGTCTGATGCTAATTCAGGAAACATGATGTTGGTTTTATATACATTTCCAGATAGACTACTTACTACACATCAAATTGTGCTCATCATAGTCAACCCGCCATTGCCACAAAGTACTTGCAAAAAGAAAAAAAAGGAATCAACCTTCTATTATTTCATATTTTTGATAGATAACAACAAAATTTTATCAAATATATGTATAATAAGGATGTATAAAAACGTAGGATGAGTCATATGCAGCTACATGCATATGTTGTCAACAAAACAAATACAAGAACAAGTAAAATTGAACACAACAAACTGCTTGTGTTTCAAACTCAATCCTTTTCATATCCTTGAAGTCTTTTTTGACCAGTACTGAATGTGTGTTTATCGATGTCCTTGCATATCCTTTTGGATGGTCTTTGATTATTTTCAAAGATCCTTCTGTCCCTCTTCTTCAAAGTGGTTGCCTTTGGTTCCAAAGAATTGCTGGCCATTGTTGAATAACCTGTGATGCTCAATGTTGCAGCCTAAAATCATTTCATTGGTTGATCCCATGTAATATTTTAGTTGGTGTTTTCAACCTGCTGTTGACCAAGCTGGTTGAACCTTTCAAACCGTCACTTGGCCTTAATTCTGGGTCTGGTTCTGCTGAAACTCTCCAATTGGTCCAAAAATGTTGACGTAATAAAAAAATGTCTGACCTAGGCGGTTCCACTGTTGACCCATTTGACCTGGTCACCGGGTTGCAAGTTGTACATTTAATGTATGTGCAAATTTCTAGGGGCCATAACTTTACACTCAGATATCCGATTGGGGTGGTCTTTTTTATTTATTTTATTTTGGGTAACTTTTTTAGATTTATGCATCCCAAGATGCTGCCCTGCTATTTTTGCCAAAAACCCCTTTCTTTGGGCCTCAAATTGCAATTTTTAACATTTTTTACAAATAAAAAAAATTAAAACTGGATTAAAAAATATAAATAAACATAAAATATATTTATATATACATATATTACATCTCAAAAATAATTATACATTTTGTTGATAAAATACGTGTTTATACATACCTATACAACACACACACACACATAAAAATACGTGAGGCGTAGTTCAGAACGTAAGAGGAGGGGGGATGAGGATGAAGAAGATGCAGAAGAATCTCATTTTTCTTTATTTTTATCAAAAATCTTTTATATTAAGAAGAATGAAGATGCATAGCACTAGTTAAAAGGGGGGTTTGGGGGTGAAGCCCCCTAGCCAAGGGGTCCAGGGGCTTAGGTGCTTAGCCCTTGACCCACTTTCTTTACCCTTATCTTTTCTTCCCTTCCCTTCCCTTTCCTTTTCTTCCTTCTTTTTCTCTTTTTTCCTTTCTTTTTCTTTCCCTTCCCTTTCTTAGGGCTGCAAACAGTACCGATTATCTGATTCTGAATTCGAATTCGATCCGCTTATCTTTGGATCAAATGTGGATCCCCTATCCCATCTGATTTGATTTAAATATATATGCCCATATATACTTAAAAATTATAATATATCTATCATTGGAGTTGGTCTTAATGTTATATTTTCACTCAATTGTCATATGTTCAAGTTTTATACAAGTAATTTTCATTTCTTTTTGTTCATACAATATATTATTAGTCATTTTAGCTCATCTTACTAATAATATATAATATTTTGTTAATTTTTAGTCTAATTTATTTGTACTATTTAATATCCGATCATAATCCAAATTCGACTCGAATTTGCTAGATATTCGATAGATATGATCTGATTTGGATTTGAATGTTAACAAATCAAATTGGGATATGCCATCTGATTCGATCTGATCTGTTTACATCCTTACCCTTTCTTTTCCTTTCCTTTTTTTTCCTTTTTTTCTTTCTTTTTTTTGTCTTTTTAAATGAGGCGCATGAGGCGTACGCCTCTAGTATGCCTCGTGAAAAAAGCGTATTAGGCATACACATCAGAGGTGTTTGTGCCTCTGGCATACACCTCAAGGGATTTTGGGGGTGCCTCTCCTGGAGGTGTGCCTCCTGGCATACGTCTCCCACACCTTTTAAAACACTCAACACTGATATACATTTTATATGTATATACAGACTTGCTGGTGTGGCATGGTCTGACCCATTTAATCCAGACAGTTGAAACTGTGACCCAGCGGCAAAAGCAATTCGGTATCTGGGTAGGTTTTTAAAACATTGATTTTAGTTGTGGCTGGACTTTTCTGCTGATACAACTAACTCTTCATGGGGCTGTGGTTCAGTATGTAAAGATGGGCTTCAATCTATGATCAACAGGTTGAGGCACTTCACATCATCTTGGTTTGTGCTAGTCCGAGGATTACCAGTCAACTTTTGGGGCCTACAGGATTCAATGTTGTATAGTGATAACTTTCATCCGTTATTTTATTTTATTTTTTTGGAATACAGCGATTCTGTACATCAGTAATTCTCAGGTGGAGATGCGCAAGTTCAATAAATCAACTTAACCTCCCACTGGCCCATGAATAGCCTTATCAGAACCTTGTGGCAGCTCTGTTTATGAAACCAAACCAGATGGGTAATTATATTTTATGGGTGAGCAACTCTGCATAGGCTTAGTTTCTACTATTAACATCTGTATGTTTCAAAGCAAATCAGGGATCTAATTGCTGTGGATTGCAGTTTACGGGCCAATGGTTCAATCATACAATTCAGTTCAATCATGATTGCAGCAGATTGACTAGGATAATTAAAAAAAAATCAAATGATAGATTTTGTTGGAATATTACCATCTAAGTGTGCATACGGACTCAGCCTTATGATCTTATTGGGTTGTCTTTCCCAGTTAAAGAAATTTGGAGTAGGCCCATTCCTCCTCGGGATTGTAGTTTTTGTTGCGAAACTTTCCTGTAAAGAATTAACACAAATGACCTAGTTCAGAAAAAGAGACCCAACTCTTGTTTACTTCCTAATAGGTGTACTTTATGTAAAGTTGATGGGGAAGCTGGTTACCACCTTATGGTTACTTGTTTGGTTGCTAAATCTGTTTAGGAGTGGGATTTTTCCCTTTTTGGGTGTGTTTGGATTCCCCCTGGGCGAGTCCAAAGCTTGTTCTCTTCTTCTTTTTGTCAGATGGCTGAAGAAGAGCGGGAGGATTATGTAGAGAAGCATTAGGGCTGCAGTGTGTTGGACTCTATGGGAAGAAAGAAATTCACGAATATTTTCAGACAAGGAAAGAACCATTGAAAACTTATTAGATTTTATTCTGTTAAGGATGGCACATTGGCTGAAAACTATGGAACTGTTCTGAGATTATTCTGTGGCTGATTTGGTAAGAAACTGGAAAGAGATAGCTTCCTCTGCCCTTTGTAAGAGGGCCTTTAGTCCTTCTTGGTCCCCTCCTCCCCCTGGGTTCATAAAACTGAATTTTGATGGTAGCTGCTTAAGGAACCCAGGGCCTTCTGGGAACGGGGGAGTGTTCAGGAATGAGGATGGGGCTATCATTGCTATGTTCTCAGGCCCAATTGGGGAAGGAGACTCTCTTAGGGCTGAGATTCTTGCAGCCCTGGAAGGTATCCAAAGAGCAAGTGAGTTGAACATCAGATGTTTGGTCTTTGAAGGTGACTTGGAGGTGGTTATTAGGTGGCTTAAGGAAGAATACTGCGGTTTGTGGAGTTATAACAATGAGAAGAAAAAATTCAGATGGCTGACTAGGGATATTGTGGTGCATTACAGCTGGGTGAAGAGAACTGCTAATTCATTTGCTGATGGGTTAGGACATTTTACCCTACCTTTTGACTTTTATCTGTTGTATTCTGTTGGTGGGGAGTTAAGACATTTTACCTCCCCTTTTGTACCTTAAGTTTCACACAGTTTCATATCTTTAATTAAGTTTCTTGTTACTAATAAAAAAAGTGTGCACATGGACTAATTTCTTATGTGTGTCTCTCCTCTACTGACAACTTAACACTCCCTAATTTAGAATTTGAATCTGATGATGTTAATCTGAATCAGACGCAGTTACTCTCTGAATTAGTTTATTTACTCTTCAGCATAATGATAACTTTTCTTTGGGGGTGAGGATTGTAGAGAACTTTGATGCATCTTTACTGAAATTTATCGTAATTTCTACTAGATAAAGCATATATTGGATATCGTTTATAAAAACTATGCTCTTAATTAATCCACTAGGATCTAATGGTTGCTAGAAATTGGCTATCCTTTTTGGCAGAGCATGTAAAGGTTAAACCATCCAAAGCTGAACAGCCAATGCAAGAAGCAATCAGAAAAAATCAAGGAGCAGAACGTACGAGTCATGTGAGTCTCTGTGCGTGTTTGTGTCTATTTTGATTTACCAAGACAATATAAAAGTATCTTTTTGTTCTTAGATACAGGTTACGTTGGGGAGACATCTAGGTAAAAGGGTTCGGGAAACAAAAGCAAAAAAAACTGATCATGTTGCAGGAAAGTCGAAAGATAAAACTTCTGTGAGTTTCATGTTTTCTTCTCTTGAACATTTGGATTTTAGACTTGCACTGCTTACTATCCCAACAATTTGTACGAGCTTGATACCAGGCAAGGGCTGCCCCAAGAGGACTACAGGTTGTAACTTCACAAACAAAAACAAAATGTGGGGATTTCACCGCAGAAAAGGCTGAGGAAGCTTCTAAAACCAGAACCCAAAAAGATGTTCGGAAAAAACTTAAGACAAATAGCACCAGCCCTGTGAGTATCTTTACATGTTCCACTAGTATGTTAATATACATATATTGTCTCCCATACATTCGTCTATAAACTAAAGATGTACTGTCAGGAAAAGAACCCATTAGATATATCAAAAGAATCGAGTGCACGGCGGGTGAGAGTGATGCAGAATCTTGGTCTTATAGCTCCCTGTGGCTCTCCATTCTTTAGGAATGGACTCATGTCATCGTGTGGGTGATTTTGCACAAAAGAATTCTTTCCTTGGTGTTGCGGTTCCCATGTTAATACTACAATTGACCAAATGGGATGCCCTTGGGTTAAAATATTTTTCAAGCAAGTTGCCCTGAATCACCGTCAATTTTGCCTGCCTTTGATGTTTTTACCGTCAGGGTGCTGTTTTTGAGCAGTCTTTGCTGAATGTGTCTGTCATCTGAAGAATTTAGTGAGCAACTATTATGGTTCATTTTTTGCTAAAAACATGAAGTTATGAATCAATTGGAAAATGTATAAATGTTTTCTTTCTCTTCTTCAATTAAACCTGGCCTTTGGCCAAATCATCTTTTTTCTCTTGACATCATAAATTGTAAAAGAAAAATAGAAAATAACGAAAGTGAGCTTTCAATATGATAAAACCATGCATTCTGAAAAACCAATAAAATAATCTGGAGCTTAACACTAAACCTGGCCTTTGGCCAAATCATCTTTTTTCTCTTGACATCATAAATTGTAATAGAAAAATAGAAAATAACGAAAGTGAGCTTTCAATATGATAAAACCATGCATTCTGCAAAACCAATAAAATAATCTGGAGCTTAACACAACCCCTTAAGATTACTTACTCCCGGGTTTGATTGACCTTGAGATTTCCCTTTTAACGACTTCTTTATTTTTTCTCACGTTTGAGAAACTAAGGCCATGTTTGGTTCACTGCTGTATGCCACATTTTATATTTTTTAATTCTTACTAATTCACCGGCCAGTGCTCAGTTCGCGATGAGATGCGATTTTGATAGTGAAAAGAGGAGTCAGTTTGTGTATGAGAGAGAGAGAAGACTCATTGTCGGTTTATCGGAGTTGTTGCATCGGTGAATGTTTGTCGGTTTTGCGGTTGTTTGAGAGTGTGAGGAGGATGTGAAGAGAAGAGAGGTTTGGCATTGGGCAGTTTGGCTAATAGGAAATGTGGAAAGAGATGAATGAGAAGGGTTACTTAGGATATTAGGGTTTTTGGGTTTAATCTATAGGTCGGGCCAGGCCAGGCTATTTTGGCAAATCCTGAGCCTGGCACGAATTTATTGTGGGCCGTGCTTTTTGGCCTGAGGTCAAGTCCGTGGGCTCATTTGCGTGTTCAAGCCCGTTTGGGGGCCGGATCGGCCTGTCGGGCAACCCGGCCCATGAACAGGTCTACTTAGAATTTCATCTTGGGTAAGAATAAGCAGGAATGAGAGTTGAACCAAACATAGCCTAAATATGTCAAGATTTCAATACTTTCAATTGGGTCTTGGGCCCAAATCCGAAATCAAGGTTGAACAGTCCAGTTTGGGCTTGGCCTGAATTGAAATTTAATACACTCGGGTTGGGTTCAGGTCTCGGCTGGGCTTGAGTTTGTTAGCATACATTAAAATTTAATATAAACATATGTATATATGGCTCAGGTTGAGATAAAGTAGGGTTGGGTTTGGGTTATCTAAGCACTTCACCCGGACCTGGCTCAAAAAATAAAAAAACCCAAACTTTGGTCCAGGCCCAGCCCGAGTCTAAAATCCAAACCTAGTCAAAATAAAATTGCAGCTGCCCGCAAATAGGCATCTTAAATTGTCTAATCTTTGTTCTGGAGCCAATTAAGAGAGAAAAGCTTAGTTATAGAATATATACTAGAAAATATGTAAATATATATTAATGGTGAGCTTCGAAATCCTTTTTCGCAGTCGTTTGATTTTCGTGTCAGGTCAGAATTCTAAGATGTGTTTTAATGGTGCAACTGTGCAAGCGGCCTCCTATGGTTAAATGAGATTCGGTACTCATCTAGATTGTACAATTCAGACGAGGATGCTGTCATGTTCTTGGCTGCCAGAGGCCCCTGAAATCAGGAAGGGACATGACCTAACAGTCTAACACCCTTTAACTCCCTCTATATGGGTACAATATCTGAAAATTCTCTGTTTATTTATTTATTTATTTTTTGTCCTGATGTGATTTGACATCTCCCTGAGGGACAACGAATGGACAGAAGCCGCAGAACTCACTTTGCAATCAGCTTAATGCCATCAGTCGGCCTAAACCAGACGTGTGTTGAGAGTTACTGAGATCGCATTCAGATTTTAGTGGAAATCCCTCGTATATATATAAAATCTGTTTGTGAGTGGGTGTACCCAGTTCCGAATCGATTATAATTTCGACACTATATCTCGAACCTGAATTGATCTGTCAGTTCTATGTCTTGAAACCAGAGTCGCCGATCCGTTTGGATCCATCGGGTCGGGCCTGACCCATTGGCAGGTCTCTTTGAAAGGTGACTATCAAAAAGTGGGGGTGGGTAAATTAGTGGGTCTCATTAAAAAAAAAAAAAAAAAGAAAAAAGGGTCCGTTTGAATCAAACAGGGCCTAAATGTATTTGTGTTTCTGTATTAGTAGGTCCTGTTGAAGAAACTATTTGAGAGCAACTTATTTATTTGGACAAGTAATAATACCTTCTTGAGATTTGGATAAATCACTTATGCTAATACATAATGGGTTTCTTCTAAAACATCATTTTTGGATAAAGTGGCCATCGTACAAGTTTTCTTGGGGAATAAAGAGCATTGGAAAATAAACTTATATATAGGTAGGTGTTTTAGCATAAACACATTTATCCAAGTAAATGCCTTACTGAGAATTCTGTGGCTGAACGAAAGATTTGGGGGATTTAATATATGAAGAAGAGTATATAGCATGAGAATTGGGATTGATACAGCCAAAGCCACTGTTTTATATTTGTTGGAGCTCCCAAGTCTCAAGCTCGTTAAAAGATGTATTAGTGGTCTTTTGATTGTTGTTGTTTTTTTAAGGCTGCGTTTGTTTTTCATGCAGATGCTGGTTCAATGTAAATATTTACTTTGGTACAGTTTTTCCACAGTTTGTTTATGGTGTAAGTATGTTATCAAAATCGTTGTAAATTTGTGGATATGTCAGAATTTCTGTTGATATAAGCGTAAAAGTTTACGTCGATAAACATTTACACTCTTTCTTATCGATGTAAACAAGCTATGTCGTTCATACAGTGGTAAAATCTGATCTCAATTATTTTTCATCAATGACCTTGGACCCACAAATCCAACCAACGATCTAAGACACCAATGACTTCTTACTACACTGGTGGCTTTTACATCAATTTCCTCTGATTTCCGGGAAGGTAAGGGATTTCATAGTCAATTCCTCTTTTTTTTTTTTGGAAAAAAGCAAGATCATAACTAGAAGCTCCAACAAGTGAATGATCGAACTCTGCTTCTGGAGAGAGAAAAGACAAGAGAAAGGATAAAGAAATCTAGTGGCTGCAGATAGCAAGACTGAGTGGATTTCTGAGAATTTCATTCGATAGTCAACACCAGTCGTAATGAGTCATTTAGATTGCTACCGGAGCCGCTGATCAATTTCAATCTGTCACATAAGCTGAAACTCACGAAGGTTCTTCCGTTGTTAAAGTCGTAACCTGTGAGTTGGTTAGATTTTGGTTTGGGTGTTAATGTTGAAATGACCAAATTTGATGAATGCTATTTACTTGTGAACTCTATTTCTCGGTAAAAATCAAATGCTAACCAGATTGAGAACCGAAACTCTCTTTTTGGATTTTTCCGATAAACCAATTTGTTTAAATCAGAACAGAGCCAAGACTCTCTCAATTGTTTTCATGTTATAATCCAAAAGCTCACAAAACTGCATTATACTCTCTGTATCGTTAAGTGCCAAACAAAAAGAGCACAAAAGAAAATCGGATTCCGGTTCTATTTTATATTCACTTGAACCGGACAAGACATCATTTACAGCGTGCAAAATTGCATTTGCACTGCAAGCAAACACAGCCTAAAGTACATTTGATTGTCGTTGATTGTGGATATAAAATGGGCTGGATCATCGTCTTATCCGAATTCAAATCCAATCTTATTTTTATTTCTTATTTTATGTTAATTTTCAATAGAATTATTCATATTTTAATAAAATCGGATCTCTATTATTTATATATATGAATCGAATTCAAAACCATGTGTTGCATATGTATCAGATGATAAATTTGGATTTAGATGGAAATCGCAATCCAACTTTCAATCCAATCCATTTGCAGCAGCTCTAGGAGGTTAAGTCTTTGTATACCTGATATTGATTAAAAGAATACGCTTGAGAATGAAACACCAAAGTCACCAAACACAACCAAATAATTGAGCTACGTTGCAACCTGATTTATAAGTTATAACCATGCTACAGGATTGTTGTGTTGATAAGCCTCTCAACTACAGCGAACTGTTGGGAAATGTTTGCTGGGTATTATGGTTATGTTTGGGAGTGCTTAAAAATAAGTGTTTATTTTGGCTATTAAACACTTAATGGCAAGGTTTAAAGTATCGGAAACGCAAAATGTATCAGAAATACAATTTATTTTTAAAAAGAAAAATAAAAGTTTTACGAAATGGGCTTGAAATGGTATTTGGGAAATGGGCTTGAAATAAGTGTTTATTTAAAAAATAAAAGTTTATTTTTATGTCCAAATTTTTAGCTTTTTTAAGTGTTTATACAATAATCACTTATTCAATTTTTTCTTCCAACATTATCCCTAGTTGAATTTTAAAATACCACTTATAAAATTATCCTTAGTTAAATTTTATAAAAGTACTTTTACGAAAACACTTTTTACAGTGCTTGTACGAAAGCACTTTTACAAAAGTGCTATCATAAAAGTACTTTCGTAAAAGTACTTTTATAAAAAGTACTTTCATAAAGATGTTTTTAAAAAAGTAATTTAATAAAAGTGCTTTCAAAGGATATATTTTGAAAATTTGAAAGAAAATGAAGGACAAAATAGCCACAAAATGCTTATTTGAGAAAAAGGCTACCAAACACCCAATATAAAATAGCTTTCAAAGGATATATTTTGAAATTTTGAAAGAAAATGAAGGACAAAATAACCACAAAATGATTATTTAAGTGCTTATTTGAGAAAAATGCTACCAAACAACCAATATAAAATAAGTACTTATTTTAAAAAATAAGCACTAATAAAAATTGGATGTCAAATGCAAATAAATACTTATTCGAATAAACACCTGTTTTTGAAGCATTTATTCAATAATCATTTATTTTTAACTTAAAACGCTTCCAAACATGGCCTAAAGCAAAGAATTAACTGTTATAGACATACTGTGTGAGCCTGTGAGGCATTGGTACATTAGCAGTAGCACCTTACGCTCGCACTGGTGTATGTATTAACTCCAACATTGCCACGTTGAACCTTTATCTTTCCTCCTTTTTTGTTTGCTTTCGGGATTGAGATT